CCCCGTCCCTCTCTCCTAGGAAGATGGACAGGTGGATATCAACACGAGTGCAGGGTTGAAGGAAGCTCAACTCGTTGAGCTAGTTCAAACCGAACGGAGATGTTGTGCAAAATGCAGGAAGGAGGATTGCCACACACTGGATGAGTTAATCAACACGATAGAAGCTGAGTTCGGTCGGAGGTCGGTGATTCAGCAGATGCCGGTTCAGCCAGGTGCACTGTGGCGGCCTGTGCGGTCCAGTAATCTCACGTGATGTGTTCATGACTAGTGTTGACCGAAGACATTCTGAAGCCCGGAGTGTGTGTACGTGCGGCAGTGGAGTGGTATAGTCAGAGGGAGGCGGAACATGGCGTGGTGGAGATGTCTAAGCCCGGCTGTTTGTATGATGATGTTGATGACTGCCTTGGTGTTGGCTTTCCATGTTTTGTGGTGTGGCGTTGCTTCATGTGACGGACAGTAAAGGCCTATTCAGTTTTTGCTACCATCGAGCTGTTTAATATAATACCTCATACCATCTAAGCAACATGATATCGACGCTAGTCATCTTCAACCAGAAGGGTGACATTCTTATACTACGGCAGTACAGGGGCAACGTCTCGCGCTCGGAAGTCCAGGTCTGCTGCTGCTGTGGTCCGTCCGGTCGTGCAACAGTTTGGTCAGGCCTTTGGTAATAGAGTCATCGCGACCAAGGAGACCAGAGAGAGGGGCCCGGTGGTCACTGTTGGGTCGGCTCATTTCGTTAATGTCACATTTGGTGACATCACACTGGTTGCGGCTACGAAGGTGAGTACGTCCGTGCTTGTTTCTGATACTATTTTGTATTTGACGTGATCGATTTTTTCTGGAGGGGACGAATGTTTTGATAGAAAGTTGGTATTATTTGTTTGGTGTTTTGGGTGACTCGATGACTCACGTTGAGTACATGTTCTTGTTGTTGTGGTTGACAGGACAACGCGAACTGCGCATTGATTGTGAAGTTCCTGTACAAGTTCGTAGATCTCTTGAGGGCTTATCTCGGTGGAGGTACCTTGGATGAGAACCAAATACGGAAGAACTTCGTCCTCATCTACGAACTTCTAGACGGTATGTGATCCTTGGCATCGGCCGGCGGAGGTCTACTTATTGTTTTCAGAGGTACTGGACTATGGATATCCACAAATCATGGAAGCGGACATTCTCAAAAAGTGAGAATTTGAGGAAGATCTGTGCTCGTTATGGTTATAATGATGGTCAGATATATTACACAAGGCTCGGCTAAGAATGTCGTTGATCTGAACGACACAGAACAGCTCAAGAAGATCACCGTGGCAGCAACAGGGGCGACTAGCTGGCGGGCTGAGGGCATCAAGTAAAACACGTCCGACACGTGGTGGAGTTAGCGCTGACAGCATCAACTGTGTAGATATAAGAAGAATGAGGTGTACATTGATGTTGTGGAGTCGGTGAACTGTCTAGTCTCAAGTCGAGGGACGTTGCTCAGAGCTGATGTAAGGCAATTGTTGCTGTGGATGGACGAACTGGAATGGTGTCAGGTTCAAGGCCAGGTCATGGTCAAGTGTCAACTGTCCGGCACTCCGGAGTGCAAGTTCGGTATGAACGACAAGCTGGTGATGAATCACGATGGGCAATCATATGGTGCGGCAGCAGTCACTGGTAGGCTGCTGTGATCCGACACTCCCCTATTCAAACATCACTCTTTTAGGCGGTCCATCTAATGACAGGGGTATTGCATTAGATGACGTCAGGTGAAAAGGAGCTTATTTTCCATGTCGGTAGGCATTGTGGAAAATCAGGTTCCACCAGTGTGTCCGGCTCTCTAAATTTGACACTGAGCGGGCCATTACCTTCATTCCTCCCGATGGTGTGTTCGAGCTGATGAGCTACAGAATCACGGAGAATATTTCTTGCCCTTTCAAAATCACGCCTGTCGTAAGTTCGCCGTTGCTTTACCGTGGGTTTGTTCATGGACGATGGTCAGGTCATCGAGCGTGGCCGCAATAAAATCGAAGTCAATTTGAAGTTGAAGGCAGTTTTTGACAAGAGTATATTCGCCACTAACGTCGTGGTGAAAATACCCGTACCGAAGAATGCGGCCACGGCAAACATCCGGCAGTGTACAATGGGCAAGACCAAGTGAGTGGCGTGTCGCTGTGCTGTGTATCTATTACGGTCTATGCAGATACGAGGCTACAGAGGATGCCTTGATGTGGCGAATAAAGAAGTTCCCGGGAATGGTTGAGTGAGTCCTCTATATATCACTCGATACTGGAGCATTCGCGGTTTTTGCCAGGGCGACCCTCTTGGCTGAGGTTGATCTCGTATCGACGGTGGAGGAAAAGCCGTGGTCGAAGCCGCCAATCTCGTTGGACTTTGTGGTCCCGATGTTCACAGCGAGTGGTTTGCGAGTCCGTTTCCTTCGGGTAAGTCTCAGTGATTTTGGGGTGCGCCGTTCGTGGGAGTCGTGACTGGCCGCCCTGTGGCTCTGCTGGAAAGAGTTACTTATTGTTCCTGTCAGGTTCAAGAGAAGAGTAATTACAAGCCAGTGAAGTGGATACGATACATAACGAAAGCTGGTCAGTACGAGTATCGTATATAGGCAAGAATGCTGATGTAACCACTGAAGGATGTTTTGCTCGGCCTTTGCTGTCACCATTGCCATTGTTTGCATTCAAAGGGTGCATCCGTCAGGATGAGGTGCGGAACACGGCACTGTTCCTAAAATGATCGATTTCTTCTCTCACGAATGGTAACAGTGTTAGTCAATTGTTCCTGGGAAGACATGGGAGGAACTCAGTTTCTATGTCACTACAGGAGTCAGAGCGGGAGTTTGCAGGCTGCATCTTGCAGCTGTAGAGCGATAGCATTGCCGGGTCGGAGTTATCGGCTATCGATAGGCCCCGTGACGCGTGTGGTGAGCAGGCCTACAGGGTAGAGATGCCGCGGTTCATGGACACGTTCCACGACGGGTGTGCTTCATCTGTTTCGAGGCAAACGGCGAAGGAGTTCATTCACTATCGCTTCTCATTCAAACATCGCCTCAGTGGAGCCCGGGTTTCCAAGGATTGTGGTTTCATTCAGACCCATGTTGCGTTCTTCAGTGGTTCTGCACTCGTTCTAGCAATGCACCACATGCTCGAACTCAGTATGTGGTTCACAGATCTCCCGAGGTAGATCCTGTACTGATATACGACTCATGCTAAACGATGAACGTGTTGAGATTGATTGTCGAAAGATATTGTATGAGAGATTCTCAGACTGTGGATGTGCCGAGAATTGAACTCGGGGCCTTCTGCATGCGAAGCAGACGTGATACCTCTACACCACACACCCGATGCTTATGGTCGATTTGTATCGCACCTCGTGCGATACTTCAGTGAAGTATGTGGTGACGTTTGGCAGTGTTCACGCATTTTTCGAGGCGAATTCTGCACTGATGACCGATTCATTCTAAACGATAAACGTGTTGAAATTGGTTGTCGGTGGTTACTGACAAAGAGTCTCTCTCACGCAACGGATGTGCCGAGAAGTGAGCTCGCGGACGTTAAACCCCTACACCACACACACTCGACGAATCTCGTCGGTTTGTATGACTTCTCGTGCGACACTGCGGTGAAACATGTGGTAAAGTTTTGCTGTTTCGTCCACCAAATCGTGTTCGAAGCTTCGGGAGCCACCACCGATGGTGTTTAATAGTAATTCTCCACACAGATAGTTCACTTCAGTAAACCGGGACGAGTGCGATTCCGAGGTTCGGACTGTGAAACTTCTGCATGTAACACTGACACGATACTATTACATCACGTGTCCCAACGAGAATTGTGTCCCACGTTGGTTTGTCAATTAGATATGATTTAGTTGAGTTAGTAGTTTACCGCCACCAAGATGATCGTTCTATCAAACTTAATGCTACCAAACGATAGCCCTTGACAGGAGCAGCTAGATCGCTGGACCGCCTGTATTATCTCGTCAGAGCGGTGTACAGTGTCTGTCTCCCAGCTCGCTGTACAGAGAACAACCTGTGATCAGCAGAAGTATAGCGAGTTCGGGGAAACCAATGACCATCAGCGGCAATCGTTCTACAGAGCTCGCTAATCTTGCATATCTTGCACTTCCTCTTATAGCTTATCCGCCCAACGCTATGCGGCGCGTCGATCGTGTTGGAATTTTCCAAATCTAGTCGTTTGATCTGTCTGGCTTCGTATTTCCTGCTTGGTTCGTTATATGTCTATACGAACGCGGCATAGTAAGCGGAGCTATAAAGTACCTAGTGACCACCTCTTAATCAATCGAGTCTGAACTTTCACGTGTTCAACCGATTAAACTGGTGCGTCGTACATGTCGACTACAGGATAAATCTATTGTCCAAGGAAAGGAGGCTCTTGGTAGTTTTAAATTCTTGCACATGACACATGATGAAGCAAGCGTCTTTGATGCCTGAGGGATTGTCGATTCTATACACGTAGCATACATCTAGATGGCTCACATTCACTCACTCAACATCTTATAGGAGATTCTCCCAAAGCTCATTTAACGACTCATACGGACCAAACCTGAAGACTGACGAGGAGCAGCATCTGAAAAAGCTATTCGCGGCTGAGTTGCGGAAGAAGAGACATGCCATCAAGTAGGCTCGGCTAGAATAGTCCAACTTGCATTAGTCCATACCTGCTAGTGAACAACTGAAGGCCAGGCGAGTGAATGATCAGTTATTCCTCGAGGAACAACGTGTGAGGCGAGCTGTGTTCGAGGAGCGAAATCGAGAGGTGCGTAGTTTCAATCGCTTCGAGCGAAGCCTCGAAGTTTAAATTATGATTGAAAGAATACTGGCAGGTAATTGAAATAATGGAGGAGCTCCAACGACTCGAATCGGCGAGTCAAAAGTCACAGCAAAAACTTCAATCACTGCGAGCCCTACAATCAACACCGGATTTGAAAGCATTAGTGGGAAAGACGTTTCCGCACGTAGATGGCACGTTCATTTCGACCGATTTAGACGTCTCATAACAATCCGTCGCGTCGTCGCACAGAAGAGAGTTTTACCACTAGTCAACATTTATCAACGATTGCGAAGGCTGATGATGCTAAGCAAAGGACGAGCTCTTCACTGACTCACTCGAGAGCATCGCCTAAAGACCACATTGTGAGACTAGTAGTTGTGTCATCGTCCCGCATGCATGGTGTAAGGCCGTCTGAAGGGCGATGGTCTGATCACGTATAGTCAGTGGGGATACGTTTCCATCCATGTTTCAGGCGTCAACTCGGAACGATTCAAACAAGCCGCCCGTCCAGCGCCTCGAGGGCAAGAAGTCGATGCCTCGGAAATTTGACATGTTACCGGAGTCTGTCCGCGTCATGTGAGTGGACCCGTCCTGCACACCTCCGACTACTATCGTCAGGTACTCACAACGACATGCTTCATTGAGCTATGTTTGATACCGTTACCAGTATACATGATCTACTAGGTGTACACTGAAGGATGTTGTGTTGTGTAGTTTCGACAGTATTGATGTACTAGAACAACAGTCAAGTCACATCGGCATCAGATAGAGTTTATACATGCCCAAGAATACGTGTCGTATTGATAAGTGATATTCCCTATAGTGGGTGATGAAGTTTGATAAAATAGAACTGAAATCACGGTTAAGTCCCTGAAGCAAACGACTCTCTGTGACTTGATACTGTTGTAGACGGTAAGGAAGCTGAATACATGAAATTCACAAGCTTGCTGTTCTCACAAAGATGCCGTACTGGTTTCTGAGCTGGAGGATAGACGTGCTTTGACAGGAGACACTGTCTGGCGTAGAAGGAGACTGCGAGGTTCACTTGCCTTCCTCGTGATGTGGGTGGTCGAACGACATCGTATCAGTGCGAATACCGAGGACCCTGCCAGGGAGCCGAATGGGAAGTATACTTGAAGTGATTGGTCACCGACCTAGTCTTTGAAAGAACGACGGTTTTCGCTCGCTCTTCGAGGTTTGACCCCTCGTCGATCCACGAGCCAGCCCTGAATGATGAACCAGCGTGATTTTAACAAACTCATGAGTACAGTGAATTGAAGAGCGAGTACCTTGCTCACGACGGAGCTGTCTCTGGTACGCCTCAAGAATTTCTAAGAGGTTCGGGTCGTGGGCCTGAGGCGTCGTAATTATCGATTTTGCGTGTCTCTTCTTTTTGTTGTCAATGTGTACTCACACGTATTATGTGGTCAGGCATGGGGAAGAAGTCGAACTCGTGCTGGTCCCGTATGGAAGGACTGCCTACAGAAGGAGTCACTGGCCACCACCAAGTCGATCTCGCCGTCCTTACCGTAAGCGTGTTGTTTACATCTAGGCGGGTGACAGTTTCCAACACCTACACAACGTCTGCAGTGGTTGAGCGACTTACCTCAAAACGACTTACCATACAGGGGCGACGGTTCGTCAAAGAGACCTTCCCGTGCTGCTGATCTTCGCCGTCTGAGTGCTCTTCTGTGTGCGGCAACCGAGGCTGCCACGGCCGCTGCATGCATTGTGCGGTTTGTAAACACTGAGCGTCCAGCAGTTGGTCAACAATACCGTCGATACTCGGAAATTCCGAAATCGGAAATTCCGAGTCGGAATACACCGGTTCACGATAGATTCGTACAATGCTACACGAGCGTACACAACCTGTGACTTAGGTAAGGTTGGAATTCCCAACTTGGAAACTTCATCGCCGTTCCCACCACGACGTGAGAAGACTGGGCGTCGTTGAGGAAATGCAAGTGCGCAAGTGACCTGGAAATTTCCAAGTGATTCAATGAACCAAAGTCGCAATCATTCTGGAATTGATCTATGCATTGATACTTTACATTGTTAGATCAAGCTTTGAGTGTAGCTTTGCCTTGCATGATGTGCTTGGACCTTGGTTTCCTTGAAGTGGTGTAATTTGTTTTCGAAAATATCTTCGGGAATGCCATTTTTATCGTGTACCGTTCGAGCGTTCCTGTTGGGGTCGCCACTTATAGGGGTACATCGGCATGTTGATAATAATGTGTTCAGGAGTTTGGTTTCTCCTTATCTACAAGACGTCCCCAGTCTAGTAGATCAATTTTCATTCAACCCGACAACTAGAAGCTATCCGCGTGCTTCTTCCCATATGTTATCATCAAGATCACTATTACCTTCAACTCGCATTGTTGCGGCTGCTGCATCCGCCACACGGATGTCCAAGCAGGCCTTTGCCAGTGTATCAGGAGCAGCAGCTAACTCATCGTCAGTCGAGAGTTACACCAAGCTGGTACACCCTGCACCCAAGGTAAGGTCGCTATAACGTCGAGTGTAATGCGTGATGGTTATCGTGTTCCCCTCAGGAGTTGAAGGAGTTCCCACAGAAACAGCTGCCATACGATGGTTGTACTGCGGCTGCCTATGTGGCGTATGCATGGTCCGAGCAGGCTATGGTGAGCCCAGCATGAGCTACTTCCCTGTACATCTTACTTGTTCAGATCTATCCCATCACGCCCGCCACGCCAATGGGTGATGTCATGGCCAACTGGGCTGGTCAAGGACGGAAGAACCTCTTCGGCAGCGTCCCTAGGGTTACCCAAATGCAGTCCGAAGGTGGTGCTGCTGGTGCTGTACACGGCGTTCTCGATGTTGGAGGCCTTGGTACCACTTTTACCTCTTCACAAGGTCTACTACTTATGATCCCGAATATGTACATAATCGCTGGTGCCCTCAACCCTTGCGTCTTCCATGTGGCTGCAAGAGCTATATCCAAACATGCCCTTTGTATTTTTGGCGACCACACTGATGTCATGGGCACACGTCAAACTGGCTGGGCGCAGCTGTCTGGTCACAGCGTCCAGGCATCGATGGACATGGCCTTGGTAGCCCATATTGCTACGCTGAGGAGCTCAGTGCCTTTCGTCAACTTTTTCGATGGTTTCCGTACTTCCCATGAAATCAACAAGATCAACATCATCCCCTACGAGGCTATGGACCAGCTGGTGCCGTGGCCAGAACTGGCCGCCTACCGTTCACGTGGGCTCAACCCCAACAAGCCGCACTCTCGTGGTCTGGGCCAGTTCGCTGATACCTTCTTCCAGAATTCCGAGGCCGTCAACAAATACTACGACAGCACACCTGGCATAGTGCAGAATGTCATGGACGAAGTGGCGCAAGTGACCGGCCGGCACTATAAGAACTTCTTCTATTATGGTCATCCCCAAGCCGAGTATGTTACGGTTATCATGGGGTCTGGCAGCTCTACTATGGAGGAGACGGTGAACTATATGAACGCTCGTGGCGAGAAGGTTGGCATAGTCAGAGTTCACCTCTATCGCCCTTGGGATGCTAAGGCATTTGTGAGCTCCTTGCCCCCATCAGTGAAACGCCTTGCGGTACTTGATCGTACTAAGGAGCAGACGGCTATTGGTGAGCCGTTGTTCCTGGACGTTGCAGCAACACTGCAGTCGATTGGCAGTACGCTGAAGGTTATTGGTGGTCGCTATGGTCTCGGCTCGAAAGAGTTCACGCCGGCTATGGCTGAGGCCGTCTTCGAGAACTTGAAACAACCTAGACCGGTTGAGAACTTCTCGGTTGGTATCGAGGATGATGTTACCCATAGGTCGATCAAGGTTGGCCCTGAGCCGGACGTCTCTGCTCCTGGGACCAGACAGTGTCTATTCTGGGGTATGGGTTCTGACGGTACTGTATCGGCCAACAAGAGCGCTATCAAGTTAATTGCTGACAACACGGATCAGTACGTGCAGGCCTATTTCGCTTATGATTCCAAGAAGTCCGGTGGCTGTACTATTTCTCATCTCCGTTTTGGCCCTGAGAAGATCGAGTCGCCCTATGCCATTATGAACGCAGATTACATCGCAGTTTCCCAAAGAACGTGGCCCCATAAGTTCCCGAGAGTCATCGTTGAGACCCTCAAGCCTGGTGGTATCGCGGTCTTCAACTCTGCTTCCAAGACTGCTGAGGAGTTCTTGGCTGAGATGCCTGAGGCCGTGATTAACCAGCTGGGCGAGAAGGAAGCTCACATCTACACCATAGATGCATCCAAGGTGGCCCGTGAGAATGGTCTTGGTCGTCACACTAACAACGTTCTGGCCGCTGTGTTCTTCAAATTGGCTGATATCATCCCCTATGAGAGTGCTGAGAAGTTGCTGAAGGACGCTATGAAGAAGGCGTACTCCGCTAAGGGTGAGGATCTGGTCCAGAGGAACTATAAGGGAGTTGATGCTGCTATCGCCAACTTGGTCGAGATTCAGTACGATCCCAAGGTTTTCAGCACTTACAGTAAGCCGGAAGATGTTGATCCGACTCGCCCTGCGTTCTGTACTGATCTCATGGACCGCCTTAATGCGCTTGAGGGCAACAACTTACCGGTCTCGTCGTTTGACCCTCGGGGGCACTACCCACCGGCTACAACTCAGTACGAGAAGCGTGGTGTGGCCCTTACTATCCCTATTGTGGACATGGACAAGTGCACACAGTGCAACAAATGCTCGGCTATATGCCCTCACGCGGCTATCAGACCTTTCCTCATCTCACAGCTTGAGGCTGATGTCGCCCCTAAAGCCTTCGACATGCGTATGGCCAAAGGCGGTAATGACGTCGCTGGTATGATGTACCGTATTCAAGTCGCCCCTGAGGACTGCACTGGCTGCGAGGCTTGCTCATGGGCCTGTCCTGATAACGCTCTCACTATGACCCCATTGGAAGATGTAGTTGAGGTCCAGCGTCCCAACTGGTCCTTCGCTATAAGTCTACCTAGTCGTGGGTATATGGTCGACCGTCACACCCTCAAGGGTTCGCAGTTCCAGCAGCCTATGCTGGAGTTCTCTGGGGCTTGTGAAGGCTGTGGTGAGACCCCTTATGCTAAGTTGGTTACGCAGCTGTTCGGTGAGCGTATGGTCATTGCCAACGCCTCGGGTTGTTCTTCAGTTTGGGCTGGTACTGCTGCCTTCAACCCACTAGCTGTTAACGACAAGGGTCAGGGTCCGGCATGGGGCAGATCTCTCTTCGAGGATGCCGCTGAGTACGGTCTTGGTATGGCTCGTGCCGTCCAAGAGCGTCGTCTTAATCTCAAGGAGAAGGTTCAGGAGTTGGTTGATGACGAGGAGTACAAAGCCTTGCTCAGCCCTGAGCTCGACAATGCATGTCATGAGTGGTTGGAGAAGTACAACGACTCTGTCATTTGCCAGGAGCTATCTGGTGAGATCCCCGGTATGCTGGAGAACACCAGTGCCCTACGAGAGGTTCCATTGGTCCAGGAGATCCTTTCTATGAGGGACCTCTTCCCGAAGGTCTCCCAATGGGTGTGGGGTGGCGATGGTTGGGCGTATGATATCGGCTTTGGCGGTCTGGATCACGTCTTGGCTTCCCAGACAGATCTCAACGTGCTGGTCATGGACACTGAGGGTTATTCTAATACCGGTGGTCAGGTCTCGAAGTCTACCAATTTGGGTGCAGTTCAGAAGTTTGCTCCTACAGGGTATCGCCGCGCTAAGAAGGACCTTGGCGCCATCGCTATCGCCTATGGGGACGTGTATGTGGCGTCTATCGCCATTGGTGCAAACTATGCTCAGTCCGTGAAGGCTTTGGTCGAGGCTGAGGCCTTCCCTGGTCCATCACTGGTGCTCTGTTATTCGCCCTGTATTGAGCATAAGATCCTCTATCCTCGTGGTCTGTCAAGATTGGCCGAAGAAATGAAGAAGGCTGTGGACTCTGGCTACTGGACGCTGTATCGTTACAACCCTGCCATGGTTCCGCAAGGTCACAATCCTTTCACTCTTGACTCTAAGCATCTCTCTATCGACGTGGCTCAGTTCACCAAGCTTGAGAACCGCTTTGAGATCCTAAAGCGTACTCATCCTGAGGTCGCTGAACAGCTCAAGGCGAGCCTTCAACAGTGGACGAGAGAACGTCTGGAGAACTATAAGTGGATGGAGAAGCGTGGTGCTCCTTCTGAGGATGCTGCTGGTCCCGCCCTGGACATCCTTGTCGGTTCGGACACTGGTACCACCACTGAGCTGGCTAGCCGCTTTGCTGGTCTGTGCCGATCTAGGCAGTTTAACGTCGCTGTGCACGAGCTGGATGAGATCACTCCGGAGTCGCTAAGAGCTATGAGTAACGTCGTGGTTCTGTGTTCTACTGCAGGTGAGGGTGATTTCCCCAACAACGCTCATGCCTTCTGGGAGGGGCTCTCGGATCCTGAGCTTGAGGAGGGTTTCCTTGCCTCCACTAAGTTCTCGGTGTTTGGTCTTGGTGACACGGGTTATAAGCATTTCAACGCTGCTGCTAAGAATATTGAGAAGCGTTTGTTGGAGCTTGGTGCTGTGAAGTCCCAGGACATTGGCCTTGGCGATGATAAGGATGATGACAAGTACGAAACCGCTTTCGAGAGTTGGCTCCCCGACTTCTGGAAAATCCAGAATGCGCCGGAGTCCCCTGATGAGCTAGAGATCCCCGAGCCTATCGTGGAGCTGGAGGTCGTTGCCAAGGACTTGGTCTGCCAGTATCAGAGGGTTCGCCCACCTAAGACTAAGACCATCACCCTCACCCAGAACGAGCGCATCACTGCACTTGACTACGACCGTATCATCCGCCATCTCATATTCGATGTGCGTGGAGTCGACTTTTCCTATCTTTTGGGTGACGCTTTGACCATCTATCCTGACAACGATCCGGCCCTTGTGGAAGACTTCTTGCACTGGTACAAGGTCGATCAAACTCAATGGTATCATGTCCGTGGCACCAGGGATTTGGATCCTCGTCGTGCTGCGAGCTATCGACATCCGATGACCGCAAAGCAGATCTTTGGCGAGGTCGTGGACATCACTGGTAGACCCAATAAGTTTTTCTATAAGCAGCTCGCTAAGTTCGCTGTAGACGAGGAAGAGCGGAAGGCTCTTGAATTGATCGTCGCTGACACTGCTGAGGGCAATGCTGCATACAGTGCTCTGTCGTCTGAATGTGTCAACTACATAGACGTCTTGAAGAAGTTCCCTAGTGCCCATCCGCCTTTGGAGCATCTCATGTCACTGGTGCCCTGCATCAAGCCGAGGCTCTATTCTATCGCTTCCTCACAACGCTTCGTCAACGACAAGGTTGAATTGGTTATTGTCGTGAATGACTGGAAGACTCCTAGTGGAGCTACGAAGCGCGGTCTTTGCACCAACTACATTGATCGTTTGGCCACTGATAATAAGGAGGATCTCACTTATAAGGTTGTGGTCTCGGTCACTCCTGGCACCTTCAACCTCCCCCCTACTCTGATGGAGCCCTACGTCATGACTGGTCTTGGCACTGGACTGGCGCCTTTCCGAGCCTTCATCCAGGAGAGAGCTTTCTTCAAGAACCTCGGGTATCAAACTGGCCCTATGTGGCTCTTTTACGGTTGCCGATATCGTGCGAAGGACTACATCCTGGGTCATGAGCTCGAGAAGTGGGCTGAGGAAGGTGTCATTACTCATCTTAAACCAGCCTTCTCTCGTGACCAGAAGGAGAAGGTTTATGTCCAGCACAAGATGCTCGAGAGCAAGAACGATCTTTATGAGGACCTTATCAACAAGGGTGGTTACTTCTATCTCTGTGGGCAGGCCGGACAGCTCGAAATTGATGTTCGGAATGCTATCTTGACGGCTATCAAGGAGGGTGGTAAAATGTCAGCTGAGGAGGCACAGAAGGTTTTTGACAAGTTCGAAGAGGAGGGTCGGTACTGCCTAGAGCTATACTAGTCTTTAGGGTGCACGACTTTTCATATGAAGCCTGTGACTGCTCACGCTAGACACTTTGCAATATGAATACCATTCTATCATTTCTCAACTACTTTTTTGTGGTGGTCATGCATTGCTCGCAAGTATCCGTCAAGTTTATTATAGCAATGCTGGCTGTCTCGCTGTGGTAAGGCGATGTCCAGTCGCCCTTCTTCACGTAGATGATAGTTGAGACTGTTCTGGATTTTTCTAAGGATGATTTGGCACAGTTGCTGTTGACACGTGAATGTGGCATTCATCGTCCCTGATATACGTATGTTGCGGTGGAACATTTTGCTGCAATGATGGTAGTTCTTATTGATACAGACATTCATCTTATTATCTGTGTACGTTATTAATGCGTATATTAGTTGCGTTTATAGAGACCAATAGGGAACGAAAACTAAGTTGGCCGACTTCGTTGAGGAACACAGCCATTTGCTTGGACCGCGACATGGGTTGAGTTCATCGCTGTAGGTTGGGAATCTTCCAAGTCCGTTCGATGAGCAAATACCTGGTTTGTAATTTCGATTCCGAATTTTCCCTTCAAAGCAAATAAAGATGATGATGAATCGATCTTAATCCAATCACTGTGTGATAACCATGTAACAGATTCTGAGTTATCCTCGTTACCCACATTGTACAACTCAAGATAGTGTGAGGCAACAGACGACAGTCACAAAAAAGTATACACAAGTAGCTCATATGGTATTTTCATTAGAGTCCTCGAGTGAAGAAATGATAGCATAGCCGATTGCAGTAAATGCAGCCACAGCAGCTAGAATAGTTGGTATCAGATAAGGATGGTGGTCGCCAAGGCCGAGACCAGCGAAGAGATCGTCTGTGTCGTTTGAATTCGGGTCATACACATGATTCTCGCTCCCTCCGAGTCGCTTACAAAACTTGGAGAAATCCTGAAGTGAATGCTCACAGTTTTTTCGTGATGATATGAGCCGAACCTTGCAGGCGAACACAGCATCATTATCAGGAAAGCCACAGTCAGCGCAGTTCTTAGCTCCCTCTGGCGGGGCTATCCGATGAAAATACCCATGGGTGGGATAGAACCTGTGATCGACCCGACGATATGTTCCATTGTACATATATATGGCTCACCGAGAAGTGTCCAAAAACTCCGGGAAGAGCTCTCGGAAGTCTTTATTCTGATCAAAGAAGGTTATAGTCTTGGAGGAGTCTTCAATAACACAGTCTTACGAATTTATTTTTCGCAAAGCTATTGATTGCACACTTCTCTCTGTAAGCTGTTGATGCCGACATCCCTCCAGTAGTTCGCGGCTCAGTCTTGTCCAACATGAAACTGACGAGACCTACCAAAGACTTGTAGTGAATATGGCAGAAGAATAGCTCACCGATGAGAATGGTCTCCACCCGCCAGCTGGGATTCCAGGATTCAGGATGGAAGTCCGACATCGACAGACACAATTTGGTATGCGTCTCGAATCTCCCTAAGACGAAATAGTCTCGACCAGAGCTTGAGATGGAGCCTTACCATTGGGAGTGATCATGTAGATGGCCGGTGGTTTCAACGGATACATCTGTGGGAACACCAACTTCCCGTGATAGACACCGCCGTAATACGGAGTGTCTTCGGGAAGATCGAAAACTACAAAGTGCCACTCGAGCATGTTCTTAGTAGAAGGCATGGCGTCAATCTGTGCCGGGCAAGCTCTAACCAACAATAAGGAGGAGTCGGCACTGATAGTCGGTGGCCATGAACCTACTTTTTAAGAGCTTGCAATTCACGGGTTAACCGTGCCACTGCTTGCCGATTCTCAGACATTATGAAAAACACGTAAAATCACCTCTATGGAATCACAACAATCGACGGCCCTCACTGGGGGCTCATAGATGCTGATATTTTGTAAGTGTAATTCGCATCATCATCATCCTCCACCACCACTATTACGGGATTCTACCGCCTCCTCTATCGAACTCCACTCAAACCATGTGAGTACTTCGAAACATTCAACATATGGCAGAGACAGTGGCACTCAGCATCAATAGCATCTCTCAACATTCTTGCGACGCCATGGCATGGGCGGTCAGCTCGTCGGCACTTAAGAGGAACGTAAACTTCCATGTCCTCCTCCTCCTCCTCATCCTTCCATACTAGGCAACCAACATCCAACCGATAACGATAGAATGGAAGCGGCAATAGATGCCCTCCTGCTCTGATTAGATCAGCCATAGAAGGTATGCCCCAAGGCAGTGTTGAAACACGTGTTCGCTTTCGTCAGCTGAGTTGAGTAGATTCCGAACTATTTATGAAAGTTCATATACCAATTATGGTAGAGATGCGCAGATACCAACAGAAGTTTCCCAGAGTTTCCCCGCACATATTTTCCCACCCTGTTCCAAGCTCTCCGTGGAGGAACCCTCTGATGCACATGCCGGCGCTCCAAGCGTGGAGGGCCTAGTAGACGGAAGCTAATAACTTGATGACCTTGTGGTGATGGGGATTGACCATCTCACTAATGATACTACTCTCCATGGCAGCGGCTCGGTATCACTCGCAGAGGCGTGCGCTGTTGTACCTCCGCCTCTTTCATGGCATCGGCAACAGAGGCAGTAGGGCAGAGCAGTTGAGGCATCGAGATATAGGGAGAAGCGGACCTGGTGAACATCCCCCACTGTGAAGAGACCTCAATAGCCTCCCATGGCGAACTCAAACTCAGCAACAGCGCCATAGTCGATAATAGTTGGGATTATGATGATGATGACTATGCTGGGATGACCCCAACGCAAGACCAACAACGACGAACGGTGCGAGAGAACAGTCAGACAGGGCAATGCTTTATCCAAAAAGTAGCCGAATCTCGCACGGCACAACAAAAATCCGACTGTTCATAACGCCGTGAAGACTACCACTAACAGCAGCACTATGATCATCATCATTATCGCTGACAACGACATAATGTGAGTGGTACCTCTACTGATGATAGGACTGCTATCGTTATTCATAGCTCACATCCTCCTATTCCCACTGCTCTCTGATGAAGGAGAGATGGAAGAGATAATGGAGGAGGAGGAGGATCAAGTATTGAGTTACACGATGGTCACACAAGGCGACCGACTAATGTGATGAATGCTACAGACAGAACATTACTTATAGATTCTTTGACCGAGTTGACTACAATAATAACTACAAGGGATGGCGTCGAAGAGTTAAGGCTAACCCCAAGCAATACCGATACGAGGGAGAAAGATAGCAGCACTGCCAGTACTATGAGAATTCCCTTACACCCGTACAAACACTAGTACGGCTCATATGAGGGTAGTATTCACCACCACACCGGGACAATATCAATCTGAAGAGTACAAGCGATAGCCAATCTCACCCCAAAAGGCGTTACTACCATAGGCTCTCCCGACACCCGTCTCTTGAGGGCTTCGACCACCTACCACGTTCTGGTGCTGGGCCAAGCCAATATCAGAAGCCTCCGTGGTCGTGTTGAGATCACCCGTGATTGAGCGGTGGTGAGGCGTTGAGGAAATAGACGACGGTGACAAGGAAGATGATGATGACGATGACAGGTTGGCAATCACCGATGCTAACGTCGCTGTTTCAATGTTATCTGATGCGGGTCGAAACCATGCACACCAATGGCAGACTTCATCTAGTACCTCCGGTATTGGCAACAGCATTCCCCCACACTGGCAGACTCGTAATAGGGTTTGCACCAGGAATACTAGTAGACGCTGGAACCGCAATAGACGACCTGTCGGGCACTATAGGAAGGGCGGAGGTAGCTGATTTGGTAGTACTCTGAAGCCATGTCGGACGATGAAGGCGCCGAATTGATGGAATTCCACCAGCTCTGAGGGGGAGATGGTATAGGGGAAGTAAGAGAGGGAAATTGACTCACTGCATTGCTAGGAGTGAAGGCAGGTGCAGTGGCGCTCAAATGACTGCTTCCAGAGGTCATACTGTTGGATATATCTGGCGATGGAGTGGTATGACAAGCAGTCAAACAGGGCTCATGGACTCACCGAATTGGCTAGACAGGCCACCCATGGAGCAGAGACCGACACTGTCGCTGCTACTATTAGTCCGCGGACCCGAGCCCGCAACTGATACGTTCGTTACTAGAGCATAAAAGTACCTCTCTTCCTCCCTCACCATGGCACCTACTACCTGTTGTGGGAGCAGCATTCTGAGGAGACACCCTGAGGAGTCCCGAGAGGCTTATATCAGCACGGTTGAGGCCGTAGGTTCTCACTAGTTGCTCGGCCAACTTAGCTAGGGCATCACTGAGATAGGGATGATCCTATTTTGGAGGAGTATATTATCGCAACATGCCAAACAACGAATCGCCATAATCTGTGTTATTCAGCGAACTACGACTAATGTATAACCATTATAAAATCCCTACTCGTCTGGAGTAGTAGTAGTAGAGTCTACTGCTGATGGTTGATACTGTGGCAGTGAAAGGCGTCCACCTTGGTGCTGCAACTCCACCTAAGACAGTAGTGAGTACAAGAAACAACAAGACTAGTTTTATTACATTTGGGGTGAAGGATGGAGCATCGACACTCAGAGTGCTAGCAGCGCTGCTCCCCTTCTCTGCCTGCACTGAGGCCGTGGCCATGTTATCAAACGAGGAGAGGGAGGGGGCGAAGTCAGCAGCCACCGGCGCCGCCGCCTCGGTTGCCGCAGGCACATGGAATAATGTAGGTAGGACGGACTCGAATCCTGGTGGAGGGGTATTCACTTGCTCAGTGTCATCATCATTGTAATCAGCCCCATTATCTAGTCCCACGGTGGCTGCTGATGATAACAGACTAACTACAAGATCCTATGAATAGATTTACGTACGTATCTGTGTAATAAGCCCATCGCCTCTAGCCTCGCTTTCTCTTGCGGTCTGGGCAACTACTCCTGAACCTCCAGCAGAATCGCCTAAGAATAGACTTCATTATAGGCGCATTCTCTTCGTGCTACTACTACTACACGCTACTACTACTACTACACGCTACTACTACTACACGCTACTACACGCTACTACTACTACTACTACTACTACTACTACTACTACTACTACTACTACTACTACTACACGCTACTACTACTACTACTACTACTACTACTACACGCTACTACACGCTACTACTACTACCCATCTTAGCAACAATTGAAGCGGAAGTAGCGGCAACCTGCGGATCAGTCGGTGAACTAGCTCCGTTCTGGAAACCACAATAGACTATATAATTCTTCATCAACTGTTCAGCAAGTTGTACGAACTGGGTATGGGATCGTGACCTGAACCGAACCTCATGCGTATCTTGCGCAGCGGGAAGATTTCCTACTTGATAGCATTGTAGATCTGCCCCTTAAGATTGTACTCCTCGAGGAAGGCATCAGGAGCGTGACGCCTGATGATCCTCAAAAGCTCTCGCTTACTCAGATCAGCGTACCTCGGACCAAATTCGGCCAAGACCTACAATAGGAAAGGTAGGCCCTACCTAGCATAGAGTAAGTGCACCTACCATCTCTGTAGTAGAATACTGAGTTGGAGGATATTGCTCAGCCAAGGGGAGTGCCTCCGTCCTAAGAGTGCTATTAACCTGAGCTGCTGCTACTGGATGATTATGATGAGGCATAGACCGAACCGCGGATGGACCCGCTCGGGACGTTCTGTAGGTTGAAGCCCACGAGGGAGCAACACTGGGGATGCCATTATTAACCCTCGGGTTGTACAACAGCGATGATAGGGATCTCGGTGATGATGATGATGCTACCGAAGCTGTTGAACGTGCAGTGCCGGGATAGGAAGCAGATGGAGGAATAGCGGAAAATGATGGTGTTGCTATAGAGTCTGAATCAACTACAGTGAAGTGGGAATCGCGATGATAATACTACCCTTACCACTCTCTAGGCTTTGATTCCCATTAGCCCTCACTCCTGACGGCCCTCTCGATGACATACTCCCGTTAGCCCTGAGCCACTGCTGCGTTGTGCCAGGGGCCAGGCCCTCGGCCTCTCGAAAAGGCCCACGGTTCCGAGCACCTTCTGGTGGTACATTATTCCGTCCGGTCAGTGGAGTAGCAGTAGCATGAATCGATCCACCCAAGCCGTCCGAGGTGTTGGTAGTAGGGTAGTAAGGGGCGGAATAGGCATTGTAACCAGGCGGGGGATTCCGACCGGCTGTTGGAGTATCCGCAGTCCCCCTTGGGCCTATGTGTGAATTGTGGGACGGTACCGCCATGATGACGCCGATTGGAAATAAAACCCTCCCATACCATCCATCCACCACTTCTCATCGAGAACACCCCCCACCAATTTAAATACCCTTGAGCACAGGATACATTATGATAGGAAACAACAGTGAGCTACTAGTCAAGCAATTAATAATCATCGCCTCTAGTCACTACCTCCTTGCATGTGCCTGAGACACCGTTATAATCAGATGAATTGTAGGAAGAGTGGTACGACTTACTCCTCAGGATTATACTATGCTCAGATTGACTGGAGTAGCTTCCCTTAACATCGACAAGCGGAGGATAGGGTACAACGACTTCGTTATCAACCAGTGATTTCAACGATAACAGGTGCCTGAAGGAAGTAGGGCATACCCAGGATAAACTCCAACTGCTCAGGGTAGGAATATATGTTGGCTCTCCTCAGCTGAGCCCAAGAGGTTCCTCACCAACGATAGTGAGGAAACTATATGACATAAATTCGGTTAGAATGTACAAAAACTAATGAGAGTTTCCCAAAATGTCCTCAGAAAACACATGTTATTGACCATTTGCATATTTTCCAACAATCCAGCTACTCAAAATAGTACCTCGTAGCACCGCAATCATCGAGCCAACGTCGGCACCAAGGTAGTGTACTGAAGTACTTATTAATCGTGTGGAGGAGGCCTCTAGCTCCCTTTAATCGGAGTTGCTGCGATGCAACATGGGAGTCCAACTGGATGGGGAGGGAGTGAAAACAAGGGAGGAGAATCGCCAGATAGTACATCGAAAGTGCGCATGTAATGACTACATTCGCCCTCTTCTATACAGTAGCCCCGTCCTGTACTCGCGAAAGTTTCAATGGCATAGAATTGGCCTGAAAACGTCACTCGCCACAAAATTCCATCGTAAATTACCATACCTTCCTCCATGCAGCCCGGCTCGTCGTTCTTCACAATGGGAACGCCCTGCCCGCCGTGCATCTGGTATTTGCCTAGTGAGTGCCCGCTCAGATTCTCGATGGCTTTGATGGGGATAGCCTGGACCGACTTTAAGTAGTGTCACCGTTGGTGATATTACCTCGGCACCATCCCTTTCTAGGAACTCGTAGCTCTCTATAGCCTCTTGGATGACCTCCCCAATCTCAGAGAATCTGCGAGAAGCGTGGTATGTAATAGGCCAGTCTATGCGTTAGTCATTACCTCGCGTCAATACCAGCAAAATTGACGCCAGCTCGGGTGCCCTCCTTAGTAGCCTCAATAAGAGGATCGAACTTCGGGTCAAAGGCAATAGTAAATGCGCAATCCGCGATACGTCCGCCGACCTAAGACACGCAATGTAACCGACCTAAGATTCTTTTTAGGCCCACCTGTGTGCCAAAATCGAGCTTGCAGATATCACCCTCCTTCAAGACAGTATTGTCACCGTAGTTGGGACTATAGTGGGCTGCCACGTTATTCAAAGAACCTATAGGGAGCTGGTCCAATAACGTAGCGTTAGATGCCTTCGCTACATCCAGTAGGGAAGCCATAGCCCTTGGCGAGGAAGTTAGGATCATCACTGCCCATCGGAGGTGCACCCAAAAGCTCCCTAGTCTTCCCCTCAATGGCTTGGCACAAGTCGATCATCTTAATACCTGCATCGATATTCTAACAACATTTTCAATATTGCATGTTGACCATTACCAGGGCGCGCGATGGTCTGGGCATACTTCCGTACTTGGCGATGACATTCAGCGGCCTCCCGCATGTTTATGACGTCCTCCTCGATCACCTTGTCTGCCTCCTTCATCTCGGCGGAGGTGGTACGGTAAGCATTGGAACCTACCAAAAGGTACGACTATGTCCAAGACAATCATTTCTCTGTAAATTTCGGGCGGTCCTCGATGATGATAGAGAGCTCACCAGTATATTCCTGTATTTCTCCAAGGGGGAATGATTTTTTAGGAAATAACTTTTCTATCTGCACCGTCGGAGGGGAAGTCTGGGCCGTCGTAATCTGCCAAAACCCAATTGATGACCACAACGATGCCGCCCTCATCGAGGTACCTCCTTCCAATCTCCGAGACACCTAAGAGCCGAATTATCCTGAGCCGGAAGTACGTGTGTGGGAAGCTTCTTAGCACCATGACCTGCATAGCAGTTAGTATGAAGACCCCCAAGATCTCCCTAGTGCATACCACGCTTCTTGTTACGCTTCTTAGTAGCTGTCTTCTCATCGGCTCCATTAGTTGGGACGTTCTCCTCGCCCTCCTCAGGAGAGGCCGCCTCCCCTCCCACTACAGCTGCCTTGTTTTTGTTTTTCTTATTCCTCCTCTTTTTAGATGCGGATATGGTCTGAACAACAGGTGCCTCCGTAACAGGGAGCGTATCCTCCTCCTCTTCAGAGTCTGCCGGCATGCTTATGATGAATCAACTGCCAAGACCAATTACGTCCCCATCATTTCTATGAGCCGAGGAGGAAGACCCCCACGACGTCTGGTGGCGAGAAGAACCAACAATCGAAGGGAATGCACACAACAGTCGACCATCTCAAAGGTCGTCGGTTCGAATCCGGGTCACGTTGTTTTTTCTCACAATTAATCTCCGACGCATTTTGGAACCGTGAAGGTCGCACTTTCCGTCGCCGTACACCTCTGTAGGGTCCCTTACCAGTCCACCTCAGCTCCCCACTGAGTCGTACCCTAACCCTTCTCTGGTTAGTTCTGGTGGCGTTATCTACTTTACTCATGGGCCTCCTTCGAAGCGAGACCATGAAGCATGGGACCCTGGTCCTCCCTGTCGATCGGGCCCGGGAGTTCGTAGACGTCATCGGCTACTCTGTAAGGTCTACGAGCCCCCACACTGAGTTGATGATCTCTCCTCTTTTTCATCGTCAGACACGAATAGAATTTGAGGACATGAATAGTGCTAGTATGCATAGGAATTACCGGAAGTATATACAAAGGTGATACCAGCATCACTACGACTCGTCAGGATCAGCCTTACTGTCAGGATTGAGGAGCTCGAGAGGATAATACGGTTCCTAGAGGTGGAGATCCACGAGGCATCGCCTCATAGTAGAATACGGAAAGGTCATATAGAATCATTCGTGATGGACACTGCTGAGGTATGCGTAGTAGGGAGGGGTAGAAGGGGGAAATGGGGACGTCCCTCTTCAGAACTATCGATTGGATACACTGGAGGCTGACCTCAAAAGAATATACCAGCGATTTGTGAAGTTTCAGGAGAACAACGCGTAATGATACCTCTACTATGGTAGGCAATGTATAGTGACCCTTCAGGGAGCTCATATCGTCGAGGAACGCCGCTTTGGAGGAAAAATACGTTTGTTTCGCCGCGAGCAACTTTCGAGGATACCTTGGGAACTCTGATGAAAGTGAGTGTAATACGTGGTGACACTATCAAAAAAGTCTCCCCTCATTTTCCAGGTTTTCTATCGAGTGCTGTGCTCAATCCTCAGCAGGTAAGTTCGCCTTCTCTTATGAGGTTATTAAAGTCCTTAGGCATCTCTCATTGAGGAGGGGGAGGCTCTCACAGGAGCTTATCGCGGTCGCTCAGAGCGGTCCACGGCCGGGGTCAGCTGCATTGCTGGGGTAGTTCTACAGGTAAGGTGGATACACCTCACAACGCGAGTGACTTGTGTCGGTCTCAGTCGGATCAGACGAGGTTCGCGAGAGTTTTATTCCGAGCCACATTTGGCAACACGTGGGAAGATATCTTAGCGCACTCGGAAGATTTCACACTGCTTGCATCAGATTCACAGATTTCGTCCAAATTCCGGAAGCACTTCGGGATGCGAAAACTGGCGAAAATGAATATTACAGCGTTTTCATGGTCTACTTTCAGGTGAGCATCATCCTATTGCAGGTGGGGTCATTTCTGATGACTTGCCCTACTGTTTCAGGGTTACTCTCCAACCACTGGAAGTATGGCTCAAAAAATACGTAGGATATGCACAGCCTTCGGTGCTCATATGTACCCCTGGCCACACAGCGAGTCGGAGGCCTCTGCCCGAATGGGGGTAAGTGAAAGTGAATGATGACAATGTATTTTGGTGAGTGGATCGATCAGGATTTGGATGAGCTTCTAGTTGACAAGCTGCAGGCGTTGGATGCCTATAGGAGGTTTATAGAGGTAGGGCAAGACATGTATTGTTGGTGATCTCATTGGTATTACTCAGGAGGAAATCGAACATTTGGTAGAACCAGTTGGGATCGGGGGAAATTCTCTCATTGAGGATTGGGCTCTCTTTCTGGCCAAAGTCAGTTGTTGCGATTTTGATAACGACTGTGTATACGATTTTGGTATTAGGAAAAAGGCATATATACTTTGTTGAATATGTTCGAGGGTGACGTAACGCTGAGATGCGACTGTTGGTACCCAGCAGAGGAGGAGGATGATATTCGTCATACACTGGTTCGAATGAGCTCTACTAATATGGTAGGAATAGAAATGATGGTAGTAGTGATGATAGGGACTCACGGGACTTCAGGTGGGAGCGATGCTATTGACTGATCACGACCAGCTGTATGCCGCTACGACGGGCCAGGAGGAGCAAGTCGCTCATCGCGGTAGGAGTCCGCCGACCTACATGAAGACCAATGAGGTCACTCAAATAGCGCAGGATCTGGTGGATACGTAATAAGTTCGGCTTCTGTCCATAACGGCACTTTGCTCTTGACAGGTACGGCATTCCGCGGTATAAAGAGGCTAATCCGGCGCTGTTCACCGTCGTTACCTTTCCCTTCCTATTTGGTGTCATGTTCGGGGACGTTGGCCATGGTGCTATGCTCTTCCTACTAGGGACTTGGGCTATAATTCAAGTGAGGGATAATCTGCCTCTTATTATTGTAGCTGACTTGTCATTCAGGGACCGCAGTTGGACCGTTCCTTAGCTGTGTTACGCAAGATGCGTTTCATGGTCACGGCTATGGGCTTTTTCGCCATATTCGCAGGTAGTATTAGCAACCCAAACAATGGAGTTTCACCCTAGTGATATGAAAAACACTAGTGAAAAACATATTTCATGACTACTGCATATCACTGCGAATATCGCGTTTTTCACCGAGTTTAACGCCACTTCACGTTAAACGTATAATCGTTCTATCTATACTCGTGTGTAACCGTTCTATCATTTCACAGGTCTCATGTATAACGATTTCTTTGCGGTGGGGCTCAACCTCTTCGGTAGTCGGTAATAGTCTACCTATGGCGCGCTATCGTTGGCTATGTCATTTGCTCAGCTGGGATTGTTCTGGTATCACCTGCCGTCCATTATATGATACCACCAATACCGGAAATCAACAGGGTAGTAGTAGTAGTAGTAGTAGTAGTAGTAGTAGTAGTAGTAGTAGTAGCGTGTGAAGTCAGGACCACCCTAATGTGGTGTATTAGGTTCCTATCCATACGCTGGGCCGTATCCCTTTGGGTTGGACCCTGTGTGGCATGGTGCTACCAATGAGCTCGTGTATGTGAATTCGATGAAGATGAAGATCTCAGTGCTTTTCGGTGAGGCGTCACTCACGATCGTCAGCAGCAGTATTTTTATGGTCTTTTTTCAGGCGTTGTCCAAATGCTACTGGGCATTTTTCTCAAGTTCTCTAATGCGGTATACGACCGTAGTGCTGTGGACTTCTTTTTCGAGTGCATACCGCAGGTAGTAATAGGGCATTTTCATCTTGTGCTCGCAGACTGGTACTGGCCTTTATTATTTCAACTACTATTACTACCGTGCGGGACTGGAGCCGTCGTGTCGTCCTTGTCGAGATCGTCGCAGCTGAGCGCTCATTGTCGCCTCCTTTCAGTTGGTATTCCTCGTCAGCATTTTCGGCTATATGGACTGGATGATTTTGTACTATTACCTCTGTTCCGTCTTCAACGTAGACGCTGTACTTACTATTAGGTATAAGTGGACCCGTGATATCTCTTTCAACCCAGCACCGGGCCTCATCAACACCCTCATAGCGATGTCACTGGGTCAGGGTGTTAAGCCAGGCCAAGTTCTCTATCCTGGTAAGAGTAGTCACTCTCGAGGGGATGATTTTTTTGTCATCAGACCAAGGTTGGGTCCAGTCGTTGCTCATATTCCTAGCGGTAATCAGCGTCCCTCTAATGCTGGTGCCCAAACCAGTTATACTATGGTGGAAGCATAGACAATCTGAGTAAGCCGGCGAGTATTGGCGTCGTTGTTTGAAGTAATTGTTACTGGTCTTCAGCGAACAGTTCATGCAACGGCAGCGAGCCCATGCAGTGCGACGTCGTGACGAGGCTGGGCTTGGGCTTATGGACCATCAAACAGATGCTGTGGAAATGGTACGTCTTCGAGTGGTCGACGCTGCCCTGGCACTGCGATTCCCTGTAGACTGTGGGAGGCTCATCATCATCATCATCATCATCGACGATGAAGGCAGAGACTGGCGAGGATGAGGAGTTCGACTTGGGAGATGTAGTTATACATCAGGTCATCGAAACCATCGAGGTAGTCACTGAGGCAGCACTATCATCATCATTATGAATACTCTGTATTGCAGTTTGTCCTTGGTACGGTATCCCATACAGCCTCCTATCTCCGTCTCTGGGCATTGTCCCTCGCCCATCAACAGCTCAGTTTGGTCTTCCTAGAGATGACCGTAATGCTTATTGCGACTTTTTCTCGCACTACGATTCTCATTAGGTCTTCCATGCTATGGCCAATGGACCGTATGTAATCAATGCCATCGGGATTTACATATCTTTCGCGATATTCTTCGGTATAACATTAGCGGTTCTGATGGGCATGGACGTCCTCGAGTGTTTCCTCCACGTTTTGAGGTAGTTTTATTTCCGAAAATGCTCGAACTGCTTCGCTCCGCTGTGATTTTTAGGTTGCATTGGGTGGAGTTCCAGTCGAAATTCTTCCGTGGTGATGGTCATAAATTTGAGCCCTATACCCACGAGAATGTGAGAGACGCGCGGTATCGAACTCGACGAGATTCGACTTTTTTGGTGGGCAGGTCCTTGAGCAAGCTACCCAGCATACTTGACAGTCGCCGACGCCATTTTATGCATAATTGATAGAGATAAATTTGATAAGGATCCTTGTGTTGTCTGTGATGACGAAAAATACCCTCTCCTTGCGATTGGCTATGATGATTGATTGGTATTATGAATTGCTCTTACCGGGGATCGATCTCGCCTACTACTAATGATTAGATTAGTTGCTGCTGCTACTACACTTACATACATCGTTCCTCTCGAAGGAGGGTGCAATTGTTCTAGCATTGTGTTAAGTTACCACGACAATCATCATGGAGGAAGACTAACTCAAAACTACATAGCAAGACACATTTGATTGATATTTGTAGCTCTAGAACTGCGGCGACGGTATCATAGCACTGCGATACAGTAGTTACCATTCGGGAAACACCTTCCGATACAATAATCCCTCTTATTGCATCGACAGTTACCAATTGACAATGAACAACGTTTCGTCGAGTTAACTCTATCTCTATCTGATGACGTTGTGAAACATCACTGAGATGGTCCATTGGGGCGACATCCGCCGCTTTTACCGTTTCGTCAAAGATAGCATTGATGGTAGTGTTTATACGATAAGTGACTGACAGAAAAGTGATGATAGATATATGCCTCATCTTTTAAAGCGAGAATAGGACATAATTCCCTTTATGTGTTGGTCATGAAAAATGCCTACTACGGCGTTTCAACACAAAATACGTGTCGAATAAGCTCGAGCGGCTTAAAATGCCGGATCGAATATTCTGCCGTGAGGCTCCTATTAGGAAGAGCACGAGTTGATCGACAAGGATACCGACGCTAACCGATGAGTGATCGACGATGAGTGATCTGAATTATAGCGCGCGCCCAAGTGATCGATTTACTCCCCAATAGCTATTAACCACCGTCTTCATCTCGGCTTCATTCACCAACCATGGGAATCAGCAGGGATAGTCGTCACAAGCACAGGTAAAACGTCGACTACTACTCGTGTCGTTATAGTAGAGGGACTCGCTGGCATCGTGTGAAATATTCCCATTGAGTTTTGGCGTCCTATACCGGCGACCTTCAACCACTGACTGACCATCCGATTGGTTCCTATTGTTATTCTTTTCTTCTCTTTTGCAGAGCTACCGGAGGTGTCCGTGCCATCCACCAGAAGAAGCGTCAGTTCGAGCTCGGCCGCCCCGCTGCTATGACCAAGCTTGGCAACAGGCGTGTCCGCGTTGTCAGGTGCCGCGGTGGCAACCTCAAGTTCCGGTAATTCCTCCTCTTAAGTTCGATAGTCATGTTCTTATTGCTTTCTCTCAGTGCCCTCCGTTTGGATACCGGTAACTACTCTTGGGGGTCCGAAGGTGTCTCTCGTAAGACCCGTATCTTGAACACTGTCTACAACGCTTCCAACAACGAGTTGGTCCGTACCAACACTTTGGTCAAGAACACCATCGTCCAGATTGATGCCGCTCCCTTCAAGCAGTGGTACGAGCAGCACTTCGGCATCGAGCTCAGTAATACATTACTCTTCCAGTGCGACGGTTATTACTCGTGTTGTTCATTTTCAGGCAAGAAGGGCGCTGCGGAGGTTGATACTACCGGCAAGTCCAATTCCGTCGTTGCCAAGCTGAAGGCTCGTCGTGCCGATCGCTACCTCGATCCCGCTGTTGAGGAGCAGTTCGCCGCTGGCCGTCTTCTGGCTTGCATCTCAAGTCGCCCTGGTCAGTCCGGCCGTGCCGACGGTTACATCCTTGAGGGTGAGGAGCTTGCCTTCTACATGAGGAAGCTCGAGAAGAAGAGCAAGAAGTAGTTCTCCCTATGTACCGCTCTGGTGTCCCCCAATTTGGCGAATATCCTCAAAAGCCGTTCCGGTGGATGAACAACGTTGTGTCTAGTTTAGTTTTAATTAACATTACCACTCCAACTTGAACTCGGCATGGATATCAACGTGGCACATCCAACATGTATGCTGCAGTATTTCTGCAGTGTATATCATCCTGTATAAAATGGGCTGGGTGGTACATTACGGGGTCCTGGGGACTGGGAAAGAGTAAGTGATCGGCGAAGTTGACGCAGCTTAATTGACTTACCTTTCTAACTGGTGGTGTAGTAGCATAAGGTGCTTTGATGCCGCCTCCCTTAACAGCTATTGGCCCGTTGATCTTCTGGAAAACCTCTCTGGGTATCTGCTCATCGTACTCGGCGAATGTGTTATTGTTGTTTGTTCCTAACCTTATTGGCTCCTCGAGGATTTTGACAATACTGCGGCACACCAGCCTTCTGTCCACCGAATGCTGGCAGTCTGTCGGTCATTCGGAATTCTCTCATGTCATCTGATATTATAATTGACATTTTGCGATCATCTCATCGAATGGGTATTACCTTGGGCTGTGCAACTTACTCCTACAGGGCTCACGTCTTCCCTATTGAACTCGTGCTGGAAGTCTTGCCATAGCTTAGTGTTTTTGAAGAGTATATCGTGCTTTACCACGGGTACGTGTCCGGCGTAGCCCGAGGGGAAGTCGCTACGGACAGCCACTTCTCTCAGGTTAACCATGTCGTGGTAGTTGGTGCGGTACCTGTGAAATCTCGCGTGTTGTTGAGCAATACAACTTCATCGCTTTACATGTTTTTGACTGTGTCCCTGAAGGCCTGGTGCCAGTGCCATTGGCTAGAGAGGTCCGTAGGGTCGTGGAAATCAGCGGCGTCGTCTCTCGGGGACACCTCGTCTGAGTGAATTGCTTTAACCCTCTGACTTTTCAGTAGGCTCACCAGTTGGTTGGAGAGACTCCAGCTGTGGAGGAGTATCCTCAACCATGTGGATTCGAGTGAAGTCGAAAGTCCTATTAGACGCGGGAGTCACCCTGTGTGATTAACACAACATAGATTGAGTTAACGAATGACAACTTTGATGGCGAAGGTGGTTTGCATGATTATGAAGTCGGGTAGAATTGACTTGTAAATCGATGGTCCTTTTGGTCACATCACGTAGAGGATAATAGTCATCGGCATCAGGCCGATTGGGGAACAGCAAGACTCTCATCTTCACTCAGTAAGTCCGATACGGCTGGGGTCTCGAGTTCGCGTATCTTCTCTAACACTTCCTATAGAGAAATACTGCTGTTATCCAGAATTAATATCCGCTCTTACTTTCTGCATCTCTTTGGAGAAATCCCTAGCCTTCCTTTCGAGTCTCCGACGATCTGATTCATCGAGGTTGCTGAGGTCTGAAGTTGCGAGTTGAATGGCTGAAGAGTAACCTTCGCCCTCAGGCAGTGTTGCTTTGATGGCGTTCCTGATGCAACAGACGGAGCCGGTTGGTTTGCAAATTCCGATCGACTTTTCAAAGATTCTTACTGGAGTTTCGTGATGAGTTCCTCCATCATTGAGATGAACTCAGCAGCCGTTTGCTCCACTTTATCCCGAGCTTCTTGTTCCTTGATTTCCTTCAGTTCGTATTCCTTCGCCTGCACGTAGAATCTCACAATATGAGAGAGAATCGTTCGCTTACTTTATCCCGGATCATTTCCTCCATCTCGTTGACGCAAATCTCTCGATCCTCGCGGAGTTCCGCCAAATTTGTTTCCAAAGAATTGATTTCTTGGATGAGGACGTCTTGCGTCGCCTTGTATCTGAAGAGAACGAATATATGAGGTTCACCAAGCCGCGGCAAGACTTGAACCGGGGATCGGCTGCTCTGAAACCTGGCGCTCTACCACTGAGCTACATATCCTCTATTATTTCACGACTTTCTACCTCCGTGCGTGGTCTCCTACTACGCTTGTAGTGATCATTCTATTCAGCCTTCCTGTTTCATCTACGTTATCAACCTGCTGCGCATACGTACCACTCACTGCCGCCCCATATTTCCATCAATCCACAGTTTACCTCTCGTTTGTATTCTTGAAATATTCTGGTATGATCCTCAGCAGCGCGAGTTCGTATCTCTAGCTCCTGTTCAATGCTCTTTACTCCATTTTCGAGCTCATCGTACAATTCTTCTGGTTTCATCGTCACCTACCATCAAAGGTAGAATCTAGTAGATTGCGAGTTTGTGCCCTTCTATCGTAGGGAGTCGATAAGGGACCATTGTCATCCCCGCGATAGTGTGCCCTTACCCCAATTGTTTCTTGTTTCTTTGCTCCCTTTTTTCCCATGTGAACTGTTTACAAAAGCTGCTCATTAATCTTCTTCTAAGTATTCCATTTCAATTCAGTTCGCTTCGTTTCGTCACACCTTGATCGGTAGTACACTCCACCCCTTTAATAACACGACACGTAAACTACCAATAGAGCCATGAGACTCGTGAAACTACTGACACTTCTGATACTAATGACTGTGGGCAAAATCTTTCTCTACGATGGTACAATGTGTGGTTATATACATCTTATTGATCTCATCCTCAAGCTGCGGTCACTAAGTTCGGACGATGATATCTCGCGTGATTGTCTGAAAATTTACCTCGCGTTTTTGGCGAGGCTCTTCGACCCACCTCGCGAAGCACGCGGACGGAAACTTATCGAGTCGCTCGACATACCCTCATCACTGATACTTGTGACTGAGCTTCTCAACTCTATCGACCCCCCTCTGAAAATAATCACCACTGTCGCCCTGTAACGAACCCAAGCAAAATCACTACTATCGTAGTTCACCAATAGCCTACAGAAAACGTCCTCAAATTACAGGTTCAATATTAGCTTCTTGAATGGTACAAAGAGAAACTTTCATCAGTCACTGGCTATAGTTCTTCCCATCGAAGAGCTTCACGTTCGCAGTGGAATAAAACCATCGGGATGGTGAATAACATCGTCATGTACCCAAATCGATCAAACGATCGATTATTCATCATCAGGCTTGACCTCGTGATCATACTCATTGCTGCCATTAATCTCGTCATCATCAACAAACTGTTCGCTGCCTCCACAGGGGTTGCCACGCAGCCATGGGTGCTTCAACATCTCTTCAGCTGTTGCTCGTTTGTTCGGGTCCATATCTGTACTTGAGATCCGCGATGCTGATCAAGTCCATGGCAAACTTACTCAGCATAGGCAAGAGGAAATCAGTGAGTTCCGTAGCATCTTTGCGACTCAAATTATACTTCTGGAGGAGCACGTGGTACAGACCTGAAACATCACTCAACACAGCTTGATCATGTCAAGAGCACACACTAATAAACGTTGAAGATCCCATTTGGAACACAAATGAAAAACCATAACTCCGCGTCTCATCAGACTGTAATTTTATATCATACCACGCGTCGATCAACTCGTGATCTCAACAATAAGCTCACCCCAATGCCTAAGATTCTTGATATGCCTCAGTTGCCCCCGCCTATTGAAGAACGTCTTGCTATGTCGTCCCTGTGAAGCCAGCCTATGCGGTATCGGCCCTAACAGCTCCATACACAACGCTAAATGATCCTCATCTCGTGGGTAATCCCTGAGATCATACCGCACTCCGGCGAACATAAGCAGAACAAGATGATGTACTACTCTGTAGCCTTAGGATCAAATAGGTAATCACCAGTGACGAGCTCGAATATCATACAGGCGAACGACCATATATCAGCGCTGCTATCATAACCGGCACCAACAATAACCTGACCAAACCCACATCACCGCAGCACAGATGAAGGCATGTAGCTCACTTCAGGAGAGCGATACTGACGTGTTTGGATATCGTTAGAGAAATGCTTATGAGTCCAGCAAGCATTTCCAAGATCTGCAATCTTGAATCTGAGTAAATAAAATATACTAAGTTCGCCACCAAGTTTACTGGTGTTATCGCCACGTTCCTTATACACACAGAAAACTTCATGTTGGTTCAATAAGTAATTCCCCGTGTTAGTGTTAATATCTCTGCTTCGCTCCGCTCAACATTACCCCTATTACGCAACATTGTCATGATCGAATATATCCAGACCAAGAACCTCCGCCTCCGACACCAGCTCGTAAGCATGCCGCCCTCGCTGTGTATCGTCGACTACAGCAGTAGTAGCAGAAGGAGCGACCGGGGGTAGTAAAGTCGCGGAATCAGGACCTTGTCAATAATGGAAATGACTCAAAACAACAGAGTTTCACCCACGATATGGGAATATATTTCACGACTACTGCATATCACCACGAACATCGTGTTTTTCACAGAGTATTACGCCACCTCACGTAAAACGCGTGGTGAAACTCCAATGTCCGACTATTTACTCACTCTCAGATCCAGGCAGTCTTATATCATCCTCGTCAACCTTGACCTGTCGTCTTGGGCCCCCACTACTATCAGCCGTACTGGTAGCCCCCGTCCCACCTAACGCGAATGCCAGGTGTCTATTTCACCTCGCGCCAATTTCAAGCTGATCATTGTTCATGTTTTTTATATCACTTATATTTTTACTATGTCACTTGAGGTAGCAGCCTTGTATTGTTATACCACCAGTAGTACTTATTCCTCCTGCTGATTTATTCTGTCGATGCTCTCCAACGTCGCCAATCTTGGCGTACTCCAAGTGATGATACGGCATACGATGAAGGCGCTCATTCTGCATCTCAGGGTAGGTCGTCAGTAATGACGGGTCGGACCTAATCCGAATCCATCCTTCCGGGCACGGAAAGAATCTTTTACATGCTCCGCTTAACCGTCGATCTAACATAAGGTGGGAAACACCGAGATCCCTCAGCACTACAGCGATCAGAGGATGGTGCCGATGACGACAGTGTAGGAGCAGCAGTGGGGAGTACCTCAGGAACATCAATTCCTACTACCACTACCATAACACTTCGAACACGTCAATTTCATTATAATGTACCCACATCAGACCGTTCCTATCTTGATAGTCATAGTAGCGATCAAAAACTACGACATACCTTATACCAGCTACTTATACATTATTCTCGTACCCCACCCACCCCACAACACCACTCTAGTGTCTACCTGCTCTTGTCTAGCTGCTGCTGCTGCCGCCGCGCGACGCTTCTCCTTTTGCTTCCGACGCTTCAACCTGTTCTTCTCGGTCTTCGTCAATGGACGGTTCGGTTCAACTGACATAAACTCGTATTACTCACAGAGGCGATGTGTACTACTAGCATCTACTTCTACTATAATTCCGATTCGCAATCGATTAACAATGACTAAAGACATATCATAATCTTCACCACTTCATGTTGCGGATGATTTTCAAACATACTATACGGGCTCCCACTCTTACCCTCAGCAGCAGTAGGACGATCCTCGGCGTCACTAGGTGAACAGTCAGCCACTACGATGAAACGCTCATGAGGTGTGCTCTCTTGCCGACTCAAGGTAGTCTTATCCTCGGTATCTGTCCATAGCCGTCTATGCTCAGCAGAGCCTATATAACCCTACCCTCTTGCTTGTCATCGTCCTCCTCATGCGCTAAGCATTGACCGCTTATCAAAGGTACACCGTGCTTGTCTACAGGAACGTTTCTCGGACAACATACCAGCACCTATACTGTGGTAGTGGGCAACTCATCATCTTAGATGCACTAATACACGCTAGGGCCTAGCGTATATCACCAAGTACTCTATCGTTCGATACGCTGTTTGCATAGAATTTCAGGACTTATTACATTTTCAGGTTTGAGATCAGTGTGAATTATGTTGCAAACTCGGTGAAGATAATCGAGGCCAACAAGTGTATGAGCAGCCACCTGACGATGAGAGTTGCGAAAGGTGTGGTATGCAGCACGCATGCACAAACAACATCGTTACTTTTCGAAGGATATCCAGAGGAACTCCCTTGAAATCGAACTTCTTGATCAGCGCAAGTACCTGATCATAACTATCACTCTTGAACGACATCTCTGCTCATCTACGTTAGGTCCCATGGGCTCGAAAACCATGCATACGTGGCGTCCATTAGGGCCGTCAGTAGTGAATGAATCGACCAAGGAGACAACCTAAGAGTAATGTACAATATCCCGCACAGGTTCGAACCCCGCAGCCCGCATTTTTCACCCCATTGAAGTTTTCTCTCAGCCCTCCCCCAGGCTTCAACGGTAATAAGTCCCTCATAGAATCTCTGCTGCCAATCCATCTAGCATCGAACCTACACATAAAACTGCCCCTGTTAGATTCTCTCCCTCCAGTGCGACTCACTTCCTTTTCTTCGCCTCGTTGAGAATATCAATTTCGTCATAGGCAGCCTCTGTGTAATGCGGAGCCGACTTCTGAATCTTCAATGCCACATATCGCCTACCAACAGATGCATCTCGTGACCACTTCCCTTCTCCCTTACTTGGGTGTAATTTTTTTCGGTCGGCTCTTGTCCGTTGCAGAGACTTGATTGTCTACAACAAAACGTGATAATATAATCATACCGTAAATTCGAAACTTTTCCTTATGGAATTCTCATATTACCTTCCTTAGCAATTTCCTTCTCAATCTTCTTAGTGTACTCCAGATCCTCACACAACCACACCGTACTGAAATGACCCCACCCTAACTTCGCCAATACTTTGTAACGGTCATTATAGATTTCCCTGACAAGATAAAGTGACACTCTCCCTGTGAAATTCCGTATTACTACTACCCTAAATGAACGGCATGGTAACCTCCCTTTTTGTACCCGTCTGTGCCCTCATCGTCGGACTCAGTATAATCCCCACCGTCCGTACCACCACTGATAGCGAATAGTGAAGATAGTCCAGTGTTAGGGAAAATATGCAAATGGTCAACTACAAATGTTGGTGACAATACGGAGATTTTGAGGATGCTTTGAAATGTTCCTGCCGACTCCTGAACACTTCTTCCCGAATTCATATGTAAACTTCTATGATTAGTACGGACGACGTAGTAATCCCAATGACTACTATTGTGATCCCTCAGCATCCTCATCTTCGTGCTGGTCATCGTCTTCCTCCCCTATACCATCATCACTCATATCACTATAGTTGTCACTGCTCTCGGACGACTCAGACGAACTGCTCGCGGATGAACACCGACTCCTAGGCGTGTACTCTTCCTCGTCATTATAAGTATGCCTAATAATCAACCATCCTACCAGTAGCTTCTCCACAGCAGTACATTCCTACACACTAGAAGCAGCACCAACGTCTTCATCATCAATTCCATTCGAATACACTTCCTCATCATCCTTCTCCCCAACCCCTCGTAGACCCGAGCCCACCTGCAGTAAAATGCATCGCAGACCAATTGTAAGTTTACTACCTCAACCGTCCCTTCGACTTTCACGCCATCTGCCTCCGATGACGACCGACAGTTATTCGTAGACATATTCGGAAGAAACACTCGCCAGAAAAATTTGACATCGCCATTATTAGATTAGCGCGCGCCCGAGTAATCGATTTCCTCCCACCGGCACGTATTAACTCCGCACGCCAGAAAATGACAACATGAACAACAACCACAACAATGCATGCTGGCAGTAAGCCCACCATGAACAAGACTAATAGATACCTCAACTCTTGCCCTGAAATTAGCAATCACATAGGCTCATCACTATCCTACTATAGCCACCTTTATAAGACGTATTAACTCCTTTGGTGGAGTGTAGATGATACCACTATGCTCCAATGCATGGGTATTGCCAACTTTATTAACTCTATCAAGAACCTATGGAAATCAGGCCCTATAATGACGATAAGGCGATGACCAGTACCGCACCTTTTTCATATCGTCTGCAGAGGGGGAATTCTCAATCGCCCATTCGTCAGCCCACCGTGCGAGATTATTGACAAGGTAATTGTCGGACTCGTACAACGATGGTAGGAGTTGAACCTGATTTACTTGTCGGAGCCGGGGATCGAACCTGCGTCTCTCGCTACCTGCAGCAGGAACAAAGGTGCAACCAAGAACTCGAGAAAGCCAATCTGGGAATGCGGCCTCGAGACGGTATTGCGATCATTAAGCATCTGGACTGGTATGTTCTGGGCTTTCTCTAGATCACCCTGAGAGACGAAAAACGTTTTGTTCAGTGTCATCGGATTCGTGACGTTTTTACCTGGGCGAAAAATTCATCCAAAACTCTATTAGCCCAAGCCTTGCAACTCTCAAACGGCTTAGTCGGATTAGAGATATCTGCCGCGTGGAGGAATAATTGAAGTAAAGTCATTCGAACCTGAGCCGGCGACAACACCATAGCGCACCCCAAATATTCTGTTAAATACATCGTTGCTCGAGTACAGCGCTATGCACTCTCCTGACCACTCCTCCTCCTCAGGATCATAGCCCTCATCTACGATCTGCAAGTAATATGATTCCATACCAAAAAACGCCATAGTTCGCCACCAACGGGCAAGTGGCAGACATTTGAATGCTGATCACATTTCGAATCGCTCAAAAGTATTTAATGATTTTGCAAATCACAAGAAAAATTACATACAGATGATAATACATACTCGCCGTATCAATTTCCTTAATCAGCGAAGTAACAACATTTTTTCGTTTGTGACTATCACACTGTTGAGTACCGAAGTACACTGAGATAGGCAACATTCCCCTACCTCACGATTCAACTGATACAACATCTGCAGAGTTTTTATCATCTCAAAATGATGCGCATTATCCGTATGTAAAATGCATTCGATCATAATCCGCCGCGCATCTCGATACCTATACCGTGAAATGCAATACTCCCCGTCCCCATACCGCACAAGCTTCTCACTGTTGCTTAGAAAGGCCTTGCAGAACATTCGCCTCAGCATCGCTGCTCAGCTCAAAGAAGCGCGCACAGTGCATATTTTCCAAAGGTGATTTATCATTGTATCTAAACCATCAGCATCTTGTCCTCAATCATTTTGACCACCTACCGTAGAGCCAGCTCATGAGCAGTTTCGATCAAGTACGGGTTGTTCACTCCCGGATGCCCTATGTCGTGGACTACTGCGGCCAACAGGACCGCTAGACAGTCCAACGGTTGGAAAAATGACATTCCCTTGGATAGAACCAGGTACCTAATCACTGACGATACCAAAACACTCACTCAGGAGGAAGACCACAGTGTTGGAATAGATGTTCGGCTTCTCAGCTGAGCCGAGATTTCTCCAACAGTAATAAAATTTACATGGAAATTCGATTAAAAATGTACAGAAACCACCTAAAACTTCCTCGGAATTTCCAGATTGTCACCAACACATGTGGTTAACCATGTGCATATTTTCCCATACTCAAAGACCATCATAAAAACAGCATAAGTAATTTCGAAAACCATCTTCTCATCAGCAAATGGTTACTCACGTATATGATCGATCACCACGATATCTGAGTCTTGTAAAAATTTCCAGAAAAAATACGTAGCGCGCTTGCCGAGAACGAAAACAAAAACACTTCGACAGTTTCCAGTGCACACAAGCTCCGGCCCGCGCCCACCTGTAAACAGTATGTGTGACGTCAACCGCATGATACCAATTGTGATAAGGGTTATCCAAATACGCCAGCCGTGCCCTCCTTAAGAAGACCTGAAATTACCTAGCCACTGCTGGGAGACTCTGGCGAATACAATACCTCTAGAACGCCCAAGTCGATGAAACCAGTGATAAAATGGGAAATCCCGGACCCCAAGAAGATATACCTGCAGACGATTCTGATGATACCGTCACGCGCCACAAAATTCCCTCACTTCAGTAGGGCATCGTTTTGTTCAAGACTGTGTTGCAAGACATCGTAATTCCAACTGTCGGCCAAACCACAATCTAATAGTCCTGATTTCTGCAAGTCGGAGACGAAGGTTCGCAACGCTGTTGCTCCTGAGTAATACCACAATTCGACAACATTTCGTCGTGGTCGTGCTGCTGCTGTTGTTCGCTCACTTCGGCCTAATCTATCAGCCAATATCTCGTTGTCTTGACTGGCCTTTCGCGCCTGATAGCAACAGTGATGAACTTACGAGAAACAATTTCCTTGTGATGAACCTGATTTTGGGTAATCATGTCTAACACAGCGAGATCGTCCGAGCCAAGGTTTTTCAGCTCCTCCTCATCAACAGGGTGCTTCGCAATGAACATCTCCGAAAGCACAGCCAACTTCTCCACCACTGCCTCGAGGACCTACTCCCACGAGGTCCCTGGTTCGATCCCCGCACCTGTCGTTTTCTCACCGAAGCCTCACTCATGAACGCCCCAGAGTCCTCCAAATCCTCATCACTCTGTGCGAGGTTCACAAGATGCTCCTCCTCTTGTCGCTGGATTCACAAAGATACGTGCGCACAGCGAAGAATATCTTTCAGCTCACCTCTTCCACGGCGACCTTGCTGATTTGACTGACCGTTTTGAAGATCGTCTTCGCCATATCCCTCACTCGACAGAATAGCCCTTCTAATGGGACCAGTACCTGAGGAAAGGCCAATGCAGCGGTACACCGCAGATGGACATATAATCACTTACTATTTGCGATACACTGTTGCTCAGCAAAGTCGCCGAGAGTATCATAACGATAATAACAGTGATCTGACAGCGTGATAGGTCCCAAGATCGAATCCCAGTGAAGGCACTTCTTACCACCAAGGCAATGTTCGCACCAGCGTCTGTCTTACTCACCGCCGTAAAGTCAAACATGACTTGTACTTTCGTACCATCATAACCATGACTCGTGACCCACAGCTCATTAGATATCCTATTCGGTGGCTCAGCAAAGTTCTCCGCATACAGCACGCCCGTTGGGAGCGCCTCGATCACCAACGTCACTGGTCTGTATTCTTGGAAATCGTAGAAGTCCAGGAACTCGACAATGGTTTGGTTGAAAGACCTAGGAATCAGCAGCTAAAGAAGAGAACGCGAAGAAAATCAACTCACTCCCCCCCAATATAGTCTTCTCCAAAAACATGCACCTGGCTTGCGAACTGCTGTGCCCAAGCCTGCATAGAATGATCTTCATTCGGGTACCTGAACATAATAGATTCACAAGTCAACTAGATGGATGCCCAATACGATAGATTACTTCATGACGTCAAATATGGGCAATACCATAACTAAGCCAATTGTCAACATTGAAACTCTAGTGGATAAAGCATTGATCAGCCTTGACCCAAGGACCTGAGAGTAATCCTACGGCAATGCATTAGCACTAGTGAATACTTTGGCCGTGCCAGCGCTCTCGTCTTGGGTGCTGCTGACACCAGGCAGCCACTTCAGCAACCTCATCACTCGAGTTATTCGTCCGGCTCGTGCGCCGAGTTTAGTCGTACGAGCAGCACGGAGTAATACAACGTTGGAGCCGAAACCAGAATTAACTGATATAACGAGTGAGAACAAATCACAAGGGTGATTGAAGAACTCACATTCAAGACTCTGGTCGTTGTCACCGAGCGCCCAAGATATGTCAAGGAAGAGGGAAAACGCTCCAATGAAATCCATGAGGAAAAAGAATCCTCCGAAGTATCTATTTGAAGCCCGAGTTCAGTGGAGTCTCAACGGGTGGGATATTACTTGCGCGTGCTGAGGCTGAGAATTATCATTTCTCCAACGAATAAGACAAATGTAACGATGAGAATATGGTCCAAGACGTGATAGCTATTTCCAATATCCAACAGCGTCTAAGAGAAGTGAAGACTCGAGCTGAAGAATTGCATAGTACCACACTACCCAGCAATCAGGTAAGAATAGGGCAACCAGTAAGGCGATGTTCATTATGGTTTGGACGGTGAAAGAGTGTGCCGTTCGATACGCCATCCGGAGCATCCATGGCCTCCGCTTGAAGAAAGGCATCCTGAGTACTCGTAAATATGTCGAGAGCCCTCTCCGATGACCGAGTTACTTTAGAAGAGAGCGCCGGCCTTCGAAGTGGGTCGTTGCAGCTCGCATAGATTTCCTCTTTGCGTATGCCATAGTCGGTGAACGTGCTGAGTTCATTGGTGATACCTAAGCACCGTTAGAGTACATCAGCCCACGTGATGCTCGAAAACAGTTTGAGCAATATAACTGATTCGTGGTAGGATGATTAGATAGTACCTTCGTGCCCATCCACAAATAACTGCTTGCAGGTTCGGCGGAGGGTAACGGTAGGCGCTGATTCGAATACAGCGTACACGAATCACGGAGCAGAGGACGTCAGCAGGAGCTTGAGCGGGTTGTCAGAAGACAATACACTCAGAGGAATACAACAACTACTTACAGGAAAGCACTGGGTACGAGTTCGATGTGGCCCAAGTCGGAATTCCACGTGAGCGGCTTTCACTATCCCTAGTTTTGCTTTCGTTTCATTCGAAAGCGCGAATAGCTCAACTGGCAGGAGTAAGCCACTGAGCATGGAGGTAAGGGACAGATTCGTTGCTTGTCGGTCATCAGGTGCAGGATGCCTTAATAACTCAAGCGGCGCACAATTGACTACGGAAAAGGAAACCTGTGCTCGAACACTAGAAATAAAGCCATCTGCCGGGATTGAACCGACGACCTTCTGCTTACGAAGCAGACGCTCTACCACTAAGCTAAGATGGCTACAAAGTTGAAAGTTGTCCAACAACTTCTGTGAACTTCTGAAAATCTGTCCTGTGATCTGTTCCGTGCAGGACGAGTATTCGGGTCATTCGCATAAGAATTTCATGAATTCTCTCCGCCATATCACGACATTTTGCACGAATATGGCCACGTTGGTGATGAATAGGCATGCCGAGGTTGAATCCTTTACGTGGCGCGTGAAAAAAGACATGACCGGAACTTTTCCAGAGAAATGCAGTCCTAAAGTTCTTCGATGTGCTAAGACTCATGTTGGCTCTCGTTTCGTTATTTTCGAACCCGACATTCAGTCTCGCGTGGTGATGCTGATTCCGGGGCAATTCATAGTCTTCATTCATTCAGTGGGTAGGCTCGGTCGATCTCTCAATCTGCCAACACCAGCTCACTTACAGGTCCAGAAACACCCATATATCGAAAACAGTTCAAAAGATGAACACTAGCGAACCACGGAAAATGAATAGATGATGTACCATATATCATCCAAGCCGTCCATCCGATGCATAGTCATAGGAGCAGAGACTTTCCGAGAAACTCTTCGTGGCTCTCCTTGTTGTCAATCTTGTGACTTGGCGCGAAAACCAGCGTCAAACAATCATCCAGGTCAATTTTCTTCCCCAGGAGATCCTTGGGTCGGTAAGAGAGACGTGATAACGCCTGAGTGTGAGTATATCGATATTTCAGCCGACCACAAGTTGTTACTGAACCGCCGTTGATCGTCCGTATCAATTCCAGACCTGAGTGGTACACTGCTCGCTCCAATGCTCGCCCGGGACGATTGAGAATCTTTCGTCGGGGTAATCTCAAGTGGAGCTGACAATATACAATAATGACAATCCCTGTATACCCGACATTGTATTCATGCTTATATATGGATATCAATACATTATACCATATTAATACGATACATTATAGAGGATATACGATAACCCTTGGAATGACGGAGTTGAAAACAAGGCTGTACATCACTGGGTCGAAGCTACACGCATTGATTCATGTGTGAATCATCGCCGTTACGCCAGATAATACTATCATTTTCGACTCTAATCATCTAACAGATCAAGACAACGAGCGCCGAGCTTAACCTCACCTCTCCGTGCGGATGTCGGAGTGCGGTCCTAGCAGTTGCAAAGGTTGCCGTGAGATATCGACTGAGCGAAGGTGGTATGGAGTCCACGATTTCAGTGCACTGCTGTCGGGTACTGGGCTTGGTGCGTTCTCTTGACGATTTACGCCCATGCGGGAGCACTGAAAGGGCCACATAACCAACTCAATGCTAGGGATGAGTGTCGGAATCCACCTTCTTCCGGTTGCACAGCAGTGGTAAATTTCAGACTCTTTTTTGGTAACATAACATGGGGAAAGTTGATTACCTATACAAACTGAAGTTGGGATCGCCACCAAAATCGCCACTCACGACTTTGTCGAAGTTGCGCATCCGTAATGCCGTTGTCATCTCATCCGGTCCGCTACACTGTAATGTGCTTACACCAAACTGGGCCTCCAAGAGTGTGACCTTCCTACTCAATATCATCGGAAGCGGAGCGAGACCCTCCTACAGTTGCCGCGCTGTAACGGCTGTGGTTCAAGCTACTGAGTAGGGTCAGAGAGCCATTATGATCTCCCCTGTTCGCCGAAAGCAACCGACAGAAAGGAAACTCTGGTGGAATATCATCTATGATGAGTATGTCTTCAACTGAAGGGTCGTATCTGGGCACATTCACAACAGTGTTGGAGGAATGAATGTTCGCTGAACTCAGGAGTATAAATACGAGTTGGGCTAGAGGCGCAGAGAAACCAGCAAGAATTCAACGACCTTCCTTCGGAATTTTCATGTTGTCATCAGAACATGTGGGTGACCATGTGCATATTTTTACCACACTGGTGTCGTTCATGATTAAACCCGACTAGTGTTCGCTGATCAACTCACGTGACGTCAGCAACGATGCCGCCAGATCGACCAGAGGCTACACCATGGCTTAATCGCTGGAAATCTGGGGGTACCTGTCAGAACAGTCTCGCGCTCAAGCGCGTCATCAATACACGGGGAAAATGAGAATCCGTAGCCTCTGTGAAAGCAGTTTTGGGGAAATTCCCACCTCGGGTCCGATCGGAAAACTATACGCAGATGAGGAGAAGGAGAGCGAAGTAAAGTTCTGCGATAAACGACGAAGTTGTCGATGTAACAACACTGTCATTGAACTGAAATCAACAAGGAGTTCATCCTTACAAATTCCCTAATGTATCATATAACTATATCAATGAATTACCCTCAGTGAAATGCTTACGAGTTAGCGCCTATATGTGACCCTTGTGTGGAGGGAAAATATGCATATGGTCAACTACATAGTTGATGCCAATAAGGAGAATTTCTTGCCGGTTTGTGAATTCTCCTACCCTAGTTCGTGTGCGAATTTTCATAACTAGTGTGGAAACTTCTGAACTGGAACGAGGAAACCAACACTGACTGGATTCCCTCGTGTTAACAGCGCGGTCACCCTTGACCTCGAATTCATGCTGCCAATAGCACGATCAGCATAGAAGTTGCCATAGCATATCAAGGCCAGTGTTGAGGGATTATATGTTCGCTTTCCTAAGCCGAGCTCAGGAGTTTCCTCACTAAATGTAGGAGTTTGTATATCAATTAGTATAAAAGTGTAGAGAAACCAACACGAATTTCCATATTGTCACCGACACATGTGGTCGACCATGTGCATATTTTGCCACACTGTTCTAGACTGAAGAGATTCCTTGAATGAGCTTTTGATAAGGACAATCTTCATCGATTGAGTATAATAAGGCTGCTGCCTTTCAAGGCATTGGCCTGCTATTATATTCAGTGCAGTGTTATGTGAATTGACAAATCCAGTGTTGAAGAAATACGTTCGCTTCCCTGACAGTTTCCTCACTAATTACACAAGTTTACATATGAATTCGGGTAGAAATGTACAGGAATCGACGAGAATTTCCCGAAATTTCCTCAGAGTTTTCATATTGTCACCAACACATGTGGTTGACCATGAGCAGTTTTCCCCACACTGGACAAATCACTATCAAAAGCTGCCAGTATACTCGCGCACAATTTTTCTGGACCTCTGGAGGAACCCCAATCAGTGTTGGAATAAATGCTCGCTCTCCTCAGCTGGCCTCAGGAGCTCCCTCACTACATAACGAGAAATTGCACACGATTTAGGCCAAGAGCGTACGAAAACTAGCAATAATTTCCCAAAATTTCCTCAAAATTTCCTCAAAATTTTCTCAAAATTTTCTCAAAATTTAATGCTCTCACCAACGAGCGTAGTTGACCATATGCATATTCGCCCACACTGCACGATAAGCACGAGCGAATACAGTACAGTGCACAAACTCTCCCCTTCCCTATGGTTCACTCGCAAGACTTGCTCCCCTCGAAATCCTGATAAGTCCACATAACCCAACCACTGTGCACCGCTAGTAAGAGGTGATTACTCATATATATTTGTGAATCTATACGACACATAGATCAATATCAGTGCTGCGTTGCTCGAGACGGTGTGTGTCAGTTCGAAGTCCACCACTGTGATTGAGTTCGTTACACTTGTTGCCAATACGGTAGACTATGTTGCATTATTCGGTTGGCCGAAGCACTGTCATAACAAGCAAAGGGGTGGTGAAGTGCTATGGTTCACGAGCAGTCCGGCAGAGGTCTAGGATCCCACGAAGACACTAATAACCTCTCGTGGGAAGCGTGTTCATGCCAATTTCCGAAATGCCGATAAACGATATGTGAGCTATTTTTATCATGAACCTTACAACTGACGAGAGCAGTATGGGAATATACGCAAATGGTCAACTATATGTGTCGGTAGAAACGTGGAGATTCTGAGAGGAAATTTTGGGGAATTATTGTTAGATCTGTACTCTCCTATCGAAAATCGTTGTGTGGATCTTCAGTGAGAGAACTCATGAGCTCAGTTGAGGAAACCAAACATATATTCCAACACTGGACTACAGCAGTACTGACTCACCACGTGTATATAGTGTCCGTCACCCGAGACGATCTCGGGTCATAATAGCATGCACAACTTACATGTGATCAATGTGAAGATTCATAAGGCTACGCGTGAACCTCCTGAGAAGCACGGTATTACTCAGGAAGATCGCCAACAAACAACTGAGCACCCACTTAAACCTTCGTAGACCTTTTGTATCCCCGAATATCGCCCAAGGACAGAACACCAATAAAGAACTCTCTCCATAAGGCACCCATTTCGTTGCCTCCTTGCGAGACATATTGAACTACTCATTATATTCAGTCCCGAAGGCGATAGAAAATACTCACAAACTGAGATGAGCTACAAAACACTTATAATTCAAATTATTCCGCTACGATGAATTGACCAACTACTTGACAAAACACTGCCGAGCTCCCGAAATTGTGGCCCCACTTGTGATATGTGTATGAAAAAACTACTAGGGTGAGTCTTTCACGTGCGAGCTTAGGAGCTACTCATGACCTGAAATCCATGAAGTGAGCAGCCAAATACGCAAGGGAGACATCGTGCTACATGGTACGCCAGATAAGCTACGCCAGCGATCAAAATGACAGGCAGAACCCCCATACTAATAACCCCCGCGTTGGTTCCAAGTTCAGAATTCATCGGAATGCCTTGAGACTGAAAACAACAACAACAACGTAGAGGTCCCTGGTTCGACTCCTGGTCACGGCACTTCTTCGTGACCCTCCAACACTCCTATCCTGTGCGCCTTCGCTTGCCTCCTGGCTTCATCAGAATGCCCGATCTCTTCGAAATCCTCCGTCACATTGCCACCACTAATCGTCGAAATGACCTGTCCTAACCATGCACTCCGCAACATGGGAAAACATCCTACCTCAGGTCCTCCCGGATGGCTCTCCAAAAAGTCAGTAACATCATATACAGAACCATGAATAACGACCCAGCAGTCATCGCTCTTATCATGAGCTTTCACCTCCGCTTTGGTGTATACTCTAACAGACTCCTTAGTCGTCTCATCAGTGCTGTGGTCGGGAGCCGAGGCGAGCGGCATGGTGAAAAGCCTCGTAAAAAACTTAAAATGTAATTCTAGAGAAGAGTTAAACTATCTCGTTACAGTTTGTGAACAACGCAACAATAACCACCTGGGCCTGTAAAAATCGATAACTCTAGTAGTAGATCCGACGTGCCAGCTACCAACAACATGCGATCGTGTCCAGGTGACACGCGGGTGCATCAGCATGTATTCCGGAGACACACGCTCCATTAGGGCTCGACATGAGGCCAGTTCAGACAGAGATGGTATTAGCGCTGATATCATAAATACAATGGGATGTTGAGGGACAAATCTTGTGTAAAATACTTTATAATGATACACAGTAGTTTCTAAGCACAGTAATGGTGCAAGAACTTAGTCGGAATTCGTCCTTTCTCTTCACGTTGAGCCTTCAGCTGAGCCAAATGTGCTTGCCACAAACCGTCAGTACCTAGAACGCAGATCCGGCGCAGGTTCGATCCTCGGCACTACCATGTATTCTGTCTAAAAAGCCTATATTCCCATAATTGACGTTGAACTTCTGATGATGGAAATCGTGGAAGTCAGGCTGGTGGTCGAACCACATTATCCACGGCCATCTGAAGCAAATCTCGATTCCGTCACTGCGCCACAAAATTACATACCGTATGCCACTGTGGTGGCCTTCTGTCCCGAGTACCGCATATATAGACCATAAGAGAAATGTCGCTGAGAAAAATACCAATCACCCACTTCATTTTATACAAAAAATTTCGCGACACAATTCCGCAACACAGAAAATAACGCCTCGAGAAAATACAAATTTCCCAAGTATTACAGCAATGCGAGCCGAGGAAGAAGGCTCCAGCTCCCAGAGGAATGAAGTCAGCAATGAGCAATTCCAATGGGTGGCAATACCTACATACCACTCCTCGAACGAATCACGCATATCAGCGGTCTTATTACAATGACGCAAATGCATTGGGGGCCGGGTACTCATGATGAACCTTGTGAATCTTCTTATACAAAAACGGACTCGCATGGAATAACCAATGACCGTAGAAGAACAGAAACTCGTTCACTAGGATGAAATAACTGAATAAAAATACGGTACTGCAGGATTCACCATCTTCGGTCGCTTGTGTCAAGAATAGTTCGCAAATTGCTGTTGTACCGAATAGCGATTCGAGATTAGCGTTCGCGAATTGAGCGAATAGTTGCTGGAATAGCATGTGGTGCAGTAGTTATACGCTACACGCTACCACTACTACTACTACCACCACCACCACTACTACTACTACTACTACTACTACTACTACCACTACTACCACTACTACCACTACTACCACTACTACTACTACTACTACTACTACTACCACTACTACCACTACTACCACTACTACTACTACTACTGCTACTACTACTACTACTACTACTACTACTACTACTACTACTACTACTACTACTACTACTACTACTACTACTACTACTACCACTACTACCACTACTACCACTACTACCACTACTACTACTACTGCTACTACTACTACTACTACTACTACTACTACTACTACAACTACTACTACTACAACTACTATCCTAGGATCACCGTCCTGCAATGCATCACCCATGAATTTTATGTTCAGTACTACATCATTTGGACTGCAATCTCAAGCTTTGATGGTAGTCGCTCAGAATCCATATCCACATACAGACCTAGACGATCACGATACTGTTGCAAGCACACGCAGCCGAAGCCAATCAGTGGCACTAGCACAATCGTGTTTAGGGCACATACGCGTATCAACCTGTAAGTGACTTAACCATCAAATTTTCCTCGCATCACATCATTTTTACTTGTGGAATTTCGGATCCCCGGGCAACAACCGTCTCGAAGGTTGCAGTACCCTTCCCTTCACTGGAGAGAGGTCGAAGTACTCTATAAAGTAGTTTGCGGTCGAGCCCAGCCAGAATGTACAAAATATGATACCAGGAACAACCAATATCTGTAAACACGCACATTTTGGAAATTCCATTCAACGTTTTATTACCATAAACGTCCATTCGTTGACATAAATCAGCATAGTTTTAACTAAAATACTATAGACCTGCATAAAGCTCAAAACAATGATGTGTATGCTCTCAGTACACCTACGTGCATTGGAATAATGGCAAGTATAGCAGCTACAGTCACGACCAACGGCCCAGGTAAGGGGGCCTCGGCTAGCACCAGGAATAAGAGGAAGGATCCGAATGCGTCAGCAGCAACGTTCCCGGTTGTCCTGAAACCAGATTACTGCGAGAGTTCGGAATAATTTTCTCACCCATAACCGTTGAGATCGAGCCCTATAGTCAGTGCACATCGCCGTATAATCGTCGGAGCGAACCACAGTGCTGTGAGAAATCCCATGCAAGGGAGTACCACGGGCATAGCCTCGTGGCTTTTCACGTGACGTTTTTCCTCACGAGTTTCTACTATAGCACTACTACAGGCGTCTCTACCTAGCGCCCATAATACACTATGGTGAACCGTACCCAGTCCGCTGACGAGGGTGGCCATGATAGCAGTAGTTAAACTTCACGCGCCACGAAATAATCCCACTCTTGACAACTCAAGACTCCCATTGATGAAACTGCAAAGGCCTACTGAGCAGAAAGCCGCCCGTCTAAACGCGTTTCAGTGACAGCCAGTAACCCTCTTAATATGGCTAACGTACTCCACCTACGCATGCCACACATATCCGCATTAGTACATAAGATTCACCAAAACGTGGCACGAAGTTCTTACGTGCTACGAGAATTGTCACGCGCCACGATAATACTCGCGCGCCATCGGAAGTACACAGCAATTGTGGGTTGTTTCATGACGGCCATCACATTGGCTACATTGGCATTTCCTTACAAGAAAATGTATTGCGCTGAGTGCGGCCACCTGGTCGTCTTTGTCCTGGTCGTGATCAGATGAGAAGTGATGAGGAATTAAGAAAAGAAGAAAAAGGAATTAAGAGTCGTGGTCGTGGAATTGATACTACTTTGTTTTGTGAATTCCTTACTACGATTGAACGCCCGGCAGTGTGATGCACGCCACGCTCCCGGAATTGCTGGGACGTTTTATCCTAGGAATAATCAGTACCATCAAACTAATCGAGTTTACCCGGCGTCAACCGGAGTATCCCAATGGAATCTCTCTGGAGGTCAGCAGAGCCCCGGTCTGTCTCGGGTCTGTTGGCATTTCCAATAGACGACTTCTGTAGTGCACTGTCGTGCAACCAGAAGCATCATCACCGGTTGAGACCTAGGAAAGATCGAAGGAACTCATGGTGTCGCTTTGGATAGTTCATGAATAACGAGAACGAGCCGACGCTCGATTCCTGAGTGTATTCGTGTATAAACATAGGCATGACTCCGATTCGTCCAGTAAATCGTTACCGTAACTTCTCGAAACTGGTATCAAACAACTAGCTCTGCCATTTCTCGGGCATCGTCTTAGTTGACACCAATGTTGCGCTCCCCAGTGGAAGGCTGATGTACTTTGGGAGTTGCCATGTTGGGACTGCTCTGATTTCATTCCTAAACCGATGTAGTCGAGCCCATAATTATCCAACAACCAAACACAGCTCATGGGAATAGTTGGTTATTAGAAGTACTTACCGAAATCGAGAGTATTATCTGTTCACATGAGGAAATGAGAAATACAAACAATGTCGGATTTCGAGGAATGCTCCAGCCGAGGGGCTATACACGAAAGTCATTTCGTCCATATAATGTATTCCATCTTGGCTGTTTCGCACCTCTACTGCTCGACAACGCTGGATGCGAAACATACCAGAGGAATATCGGATCCTAGTGTAATGCTTTGGTGTCTACCTCTATAGTATGGCTGTTTGGTCTAGAGGTTAAGATTCTGCCTTTGGGCGGTAGAGGCCTGGGTTCGACTCCCAGAACAGCCATGTTCATGCGTGCATTCGGTACGCGGTCCCAGCACTTGCATGTCGAAATGCGTTGCGCATCAATTTCCTGCTCACACGGCATTTTCGCTGACTGACAGCTCGTCGTGTGGCCGACAGCGCATAACCAAAGATTTGCAGCACCACCTATCGAGTGGGAGCAGGCTCGCCGCTCAACTCATAGACATGCGAGAGTTCAAACAAAGCTTGGGGGTAGCCCATTGAGGATCATGAATGTGTGCCGAGTCACTGGCTTAGCAGTGCTCTTGTTTCCTCTTGCATATCTGTTGTGTTTAGCAGTAACGTGGAGGTAAATAACACGATTGTTGTTTGACGACTTTGTTACGATGTGTTCGGGCATCTATTCGACGCCTCAGGGTCGTGATGACACGATGATTTTCCCAGGTTCAGAAATCAGCTGGATTTATCGCAATCTTCACCGATGAGTAGAGCTGACCGACAGTCCGCTCGGTAAAGCAACTTCAGACATATGTATATGTTAGTGCATCCGCGGGCAGCATTTTTGTGATATGTCCAACTTCGGGTTTGGCTCTCAAGGATTGAGTCAGTCCAGCGATTCCAATTCCTTCTATGCTGGGAAGTAGGTCATTTATAAGACATCGTCACTGATGCCCCATCAGGATCCTCGGCACGCCAATAAGGGTTAACTATTGGTTGGTGGCTCTGTTTGCCTACCAGGTGTTACAGGCCTTGGGAGGTGGCCAGCCAAGCATGTATGCGGTTCTCATGGCAGTTGGTAAGGAATGGGAGGGAATTTTAACCCTTTTTTATTGGCCGTATTCTCATAGGTTTTCAAGCGATATTACAAGTGACTGTACTTTGTCACGAATTCGGTCATGGTACCATGGCGCGATACCTAGGCGGTAGCATCAGCTACATCCTCCTATGGCCTTTTGGAGGTGAGCTTCTCACCCCTAATGTGTTCCTCCACGGTAACGGTATCGCATCAGGGATATGCTTCTCGAGTTATCCTAGGCAGGGCACGGTGAAAGAGAATCTATTGAAAGACTTAGAGGTCGATTGATGCCTTCCCTTGAGTTCCCTCACGAGTATTGTAGGTGGTGGCAGCGGGGCCTTTCACCCATCTCGTCCAAACGCCATTCTGGTGTCTGCTTTTGTCAGCCACCTCGGCGCTTCTATTGCCTGAGCAGCTCGCTGCGTGAGTTCTAACGATAGCAATCTTCCCAGACGATACGTCTTCCAGATACATGCCTAGTGTATGGGCATTCATAAACCCTCTTGGCCATGCCTCAGTTCCGGTCAATCACGCGTTGATGTCGTGGGGTAGCATTCTGGTAGAGTACTGTCAGCTCGACGCGCTCGGCAATGATCATTCCCTCAGATATTAGAGATGTGCGTGATGGGCATCAAGATCAATGTTATGCTATTCCTGTTCAACCTGCTCTTTCCCATGTAGTAGAATCGTCATATCGTCCGAGCTTTTGTGATAGATTGATAACAGCGTAGGTACCCGATGGACGCTGCGAAGATCCTAGTATGCGTTCTTCAACTTGGTTGCTGTTGTCCTGTGCGACGAACAGCTCGTATTCTAATCTTGGTCAGCGGCATTGCAGCCGTCCTGTTCATCCTCAACGGCCTCCTCAATGGCGGAGGCGGCATGTGAGGTCTACAGCCGTACCGCTCTCCCGCATATTCCTGTTGTATGATCAGATTCGCTGGTGTTGGAATAGTGATGGGCGGGATGTGTTTGGTAGAAGTGTATAAAATATACACATTAATGGAGCAACGACAACTGCATACTCACCCACTATTCGAGAACGCGAGGAGCTGGGGTCGTCAAGAGCGCGACCGTAACACATACTATTTTTTTGCTATAGGACGGTCCGACCGAGTTCTTTCAGAATTTGGTGTAGTCAATCGCATGAACGTAGCTTTCCGAGATGATGACGATGATATAGAAAGTATGCTCTTGTATTTTACTCTCATCACTCGTGTTCATGTAGGTGTGCGTCGCCCTACAGGCAGTACACGATTTCAAGGTGGTCAAGGTCAAACGGGTCCTTCAGCATTGCCGACCGCCCCTCCAGTTGTTCCTGTCACTGAGAATCAGCCACAGCCTGTGAGGGAGACAATCTACGGTGTACCCCTTTGAATGAGTTCTGTTATGGCAGGCCCCTACAGCGCCTCGAGACAATGCAGCATTCTTAGACCGACTGGATGCCAATAGACAGCAACAGACCAAGACAGTTCGGCGTAGGTCTCTTTCCAGATGCACGCCATTCTATGTTGCCATTGTGTCAGAATTGGAAGACGAACGGTTGCAGCGAGAGCGCAGGAATGATGACCCGGCGTGAGAGAGTTGTTCGAGAAATCAGAATTGGCTTATCCAGTACCGTTAATGTCGATAATGCCTTCTGATTCCAAGTGCCCAGTGTGTCATCGGACATTTCCTTTACAGTGTAGGAAAACATTTTGTAGCCGCATTGTGCGTGAAGTCGACATGATATGAGTGTACGCAAACACACTTAGTCCTCTTTGGCCTCTTTCATCGCTGTTAATATTGATAATGACCTCGGTAACGATCCGTACAGCCATTTACGCACTTTTGCGTTTATAAGGAACATGGCACTTCTATTCAGGGTTACGGTAGTTGATAGGTACGTATGATTATCCGAGCTTTCTGTTTCTCCTCGAGAAATGTTTAGTGGCGCATGCGTTCACCATGAACGCATGCACAAACATAGCAAGGGCCTCAGCATGTTGAGAATTTGCGACTAAAACTTCTCGTTTATGGCTAGCTCAGGAAGTCCTAGTATGAGGATCATTCTAGTCAGTATTTCACTACCCTTCAATGGTGTACGAAGCCCCTCATCTCAAAGTTAAAGAAGGTTCCATTCACCCAGTCGTGTGTGCAGTTGGTGACCCTGGTCGTGCTGAGTTGATCGCTACCAAGTACTGTGACTCGTACGAACAATTGGCCTTCAATAGAGAGTATCGCACCTTCAACGTTCATTATCAAGGCGCGGATTTCACTGTTGCTTCCCATGGTATTGGCGGCCCTGGATGTGCTATTTGCTTCGAGGAGCTAATCAAGTGCGGTGCGAAAGTGATCATGCGCCTCGGCACTTGTGGGTCATTGAAACCCGATGATATCAAGCAAGGAGATCTCATTGTCACCACAGGCTCAGCCGCTGAGGACGGTGTTTCCCAATATTTGGTCCCAGCGGGTTTCCCTGCTGTTTCGGACCCAGCCTTATGTATCGCTATGCGGGATACCGCCCACGAGCTCGGTTTCGAACGCTGCCACTTCGGCATCACTGTAGCGGCTGCTTTGTTCTACCCAAGTCCAGCTAAGGAAACCACTTTGCTTTCGCATGCTGCTGCTGGGGCAATTGGTGTCGAGATGGAGAACTCAGCCCTTTTCACTGTGGCTTCTATCAGAGGCATAAGAGCAGCCTCTATAGCTGCGGTGGACGGGTGCCCTTTGAGATGGGATGAGGGAGATTATGACCCTCATGGCACTGCAGTGAAAGAGGGTAAGCATCGTATGATTCTAACTGGTATCACCGTGGCCAAACGAGTTGTTCTAGAAGGTATATAGTTGTTCACACAAGTTACCTGATTCTCATTTGTCGAGATGGTTTCATGATAGTTGTAGTACTAGTAGTGGGGGCTTGATGCCTACCCTATCTATTTGAAATAGATCATTTCGAAACGATGGCTGATAATCATCGAGTTGAGTGCGAGTGGGTGGTGGTGAAGAAAGGACTCCTTTGATGAAGTTGCCCAGGACTCAAGTACGCAACACAACTGCATCATATCACAAAATAATCATGGCTTCCATTTGTTCGATATGATGTCGAACTTGCTGGAGTCATTTTCGTAAAGCCAATGCTTCCGAGGAGGTTCTGAAGGCCGACAATACATGAGGTCTTTCTTGGCGCGAAGTGCTGATGTCATGAGTTTGGAGTTGATCTCGTAGTTGCCCAGAAACCTGTTGGCCAACAAAGTGCCTGATGTGGAAAGCAGCACCCACCTTATGCGAGGATCGTCCGAAGTCGTAGACCCTTCAGGAACCATGTGCTGTAGAATGTTGTAATTGGTGTATCCCTGTAAAGCCTGGTTGATTCCTCCTCGGGTTTTCTCAAGTGTTTGCCTCTGTATCACGACAAGCTTGTTTCGTTGGCGAACCTCAGAATCTGTCCAAGAGTGATTATAAGTGAGAATTTGGCCATTTGACGAACCGTCGATTATGGGGAAGTGTATCCCTCCAGCTCCTCCTGCTGATACCCATTTGAGTGTTCGTTGGTCGCTCTCGGTTGAGTTCAACGCCCGCAGTGGCTCGAGTGGGCTCTCGTAGTCTCGTGATAGTACTCTCATCTGCCAAGGCCAATTCGACAGAGATCTTTTAATTTGACGGCACTGATGATTGAGCATGGCTGAAGCCAGTGATCGCTTGCTAGTTCGAGCATTTGTAAAGGGTGTTTCCGAACCTCATGAGCATTTTTGGATGCGAATAAATCGATGACCAATGAGGCTTGTGAGGCCCAATTTCGTTGAAGTATAGCGAACATCCTCATGAATAATGTTCATGAGTGATTCCATAGAAGTTGTGATCGCTGTAGATCTTTCGATAGGGTCTTGCTCAGCTGACTCTCAAATCATTTTCAGGAGTCGGCGATGTCACTGGCATCATGCCAAAGCTTTTGCAAATTTCTCCATTTTTCCTGACTTCTGATCGAAGTGTCCCAGATCGTATTCCGTTCGCACAAGAGAAATTCAAGTGGGCTGAACAATAGCCCTTCCACACTGATTCGTAACCGATTGATACGATGCCAAAAATACTCACGAGGTTTTGACACACCTTTCGATCAGGGAGCATTCTCATAGGAGCATTCGTACGCATGGGAAACCGTAATCATTTAGGAGATTCCCCGAAGTGTCTGGTTCTGATCTTATGCGTTTCACATTTGACATTCTCTCTTTGAGAGCCTTATATATAATGCGAAGTCAATCCCACCTGCGCCTCGGAGTTGCATCGTTGCATTTCACCTTCAACTCGAATATATGCTCTCGTTCGGGGCCTAGTTATAAGTTCACCACGGCGGGAAGGCAAGCCTGCGAGGGGTTTCCGATGCATCAATATGAAGAGAAATCCTGTTACGCACGATTTTTGCGAAATTGACGGTTAGCCCACTATCGCCAAATACCAGTGCATGAGGCTACTGAATAGGACGCCCCCCCAATCTGAACCGACGACCTGTCGATTGAACACCAGTCATTCTACCACTACGCTACACACCATTGAGAACAAAGTTTCGAGATGCAAGCGATGTTATCGAGAATACATAGTCTCCCAATTGCTCATTCGAGAGCCATACATAAAGGGAACTTCAGCTTCCTTACTCGACAGGCAACCCTGTTGCTTGCCGATAAATCCATATCCATACTCGGGGGTTTCTTCGGTGCTACGTCTGTTCGCGCATTACGCGCTCGCCATTGTGATCGACTCATACTCGTTCGCGCAGGTTCATCCATTGCTCATCACAATGGATGCCTCAGAAGTCGACGCGACTGCTGGACGTAAGTTTGATCTCGTCAGGACGCTCATGTATCTCTAAGGTGTCAAATATTTGACAATTCTTCCCCCTTGCAGTCCCTTCAATCGAAGAGATGGTCTACCTGGACCAACCCTTTGACTTCACGCAGTTGTCACTCGAACAACTTGAAATTGAAAAGCTCAAGTTAGAAATTGCCCTGAGGTGAGTGTCCATACTCGGAGCATCATCGTATGGGTCATGTGATGTTCAGACAAGAGGAACTTCGGAAAGTACGACTTGACCGTCGAGCACTTGAACACATGAACGCCGCCGCGGCTGCTGCTGTGGCCGCCCACCATCAGCAGCAGAATACTCCTCCTGATGCCCCTACGGACTAAGGATTGTATCCGGTATCATCACTCTCATTATATTTGCACGTTATCATCATCTCTGGCATGCTCTCGAGTTAAGCACATCGTCGGTGCTCAGAGGATCCCATGATGAGGTCTCGGGAATCGGAATTTTTCTCCCAGCCGTTTATGCCCTTCGCGCCTCCTCGTAACTGCCCTTTATTCGCAACTTTGGGACACTCTTGACACTCGTAACCTTTCGAGTCGATAGTCTTCACCACAGCGGTAGCTCACTGGTACGAAGTTATGAACCGTTATTCTGTTCTGAAGGAAAATGACAACATCATCCATCAAGTCAACTGTAAGGCTAAGTTGCTCGTGTTACTACTGACTGGTCTTGTCCAGTGCCCTCCAAGTCGCTAGATCCGCTACAGTACGTAGCTGAGGAGGCCCTAAGGGACTTGGGCAACCCAGATATCTCTGTGATGCTCCTTGACCTAGGTAGGTTATCACAACACTCAACCATATATGCACCTGCTTCAGATCAACTTGAGCGTCAGATGAAAAAATGGAAAGAACTGCTACCCCGTATTATCCCGTAGGAACTCACTTTTGCTTCAGCGGCTCAACGCGAGGGTTCTTGTAGATACTACGCAATGAAATGCAATCCCGAGCCAATGCTGGTGAAGACTCTCTACCACTTGGGCTGTAGATTTGACTGTGCTACCATCAATGAGATGAAGCTGGTCAAAAGCATTCTGTCCGAGAATATGGGGGATCCGAACGCCCATATTATAAATGTGATTCCTCCCACCTTTTCTGGTAGAAGGAAATTTTCTTTCAGGAAATGATGGCTTCGCACATCGTTTATGCCAACCCGAACAAATTGCCGTCTCATCTCATTGGTGCCAGAGACCTGGGAGTTGAATATATCGTAGCTGATTCTGCCTTGGAGATAGCCAAGGTGGGTTAATCGGCTCTTCGTTGCTCTTCTGGTCTCATTGATATGCGTTCAGATTGCTCATTATCATCCGACAGCTAAGCTGCTTCTCCGTCTTGCTTGTGTTGACAACAATGCGCAGTGCCCGATGAGCTCCAAGTTCGGCGCATCCCTGGGGGTCGCGGTTAACGTGCTGTTGGAGGAAGCAGTGAACCATGGCTTGAACGGTGAGAAAAGTTCCACTCAGCCAAGCGTATTAGATGTCACTCTTACCTCAGTTGTTGGTGTATCCTTTCATGTGGGATCGGGATGCTCGGACGTCCACTCTATCACCAAGGCTCTGGTTGATGCTCGTGAAGTCTTTGATGCTGCTGCGTAGGTCCTACAATTTTCAAAGTTACGCCTGACATCTCCTCGGGAATTGCTGGTCCGGTTTTGGTGTAGTCGTTGATGGATATCCCCTCAGCTCTCGCTTTGGCATGAAGTTGTCCATTCTTGACATCGGTGGAGGCTTTCAAGGCGTCGATAGGGAAGGTAGTCATCACCAGCTTGTGGCTGCTCTCATTGTTTGTTAGGATCCCCACTCAACTTCAAGTCTATGGCTACTGTGGTGAACTCTCTGCTCGATACCCTTTTCCCTGATCCGGATGAAGTCCGTATCATCGCTGAGCCCGGAAGGTTCTTCGCATGCAGTCCCTGC